GCTCGCTCGCTCGCTCGCTCGCTCGCTCGCTCTCTCGCTCGCTCGCTCGCTCGCTCGCTCGCTCGCTCGCTCGCTCGCTCGCTCGCTCGCTCGCTCGCTCGCTCGCTGCCTCGCTCGCTCGCTCGCTCCTCTCGCTCTCGCTCGCTCGCTCGCTCGCTCGCTCGCTCGCTCGCTCGCTCGCTCGCTCGCTCGCTCGCTCGCTCGCTCGCTCGCTCGCTCGCTCGCTCGCTGCTCTCGCTCGCTCGCTCGCTCGCTCGCTCGCTCGCTCGCTCGCTCTCTCGCTCGCTCGCTCGCTCGCTCGCTCGCTCGCTCGCTGCTCGCTCGCTCGCTCGCTCGCTCGCTCGCTCGCTCGCTCCTCGCTCGCTCGCTCGCTCGCTCGCTCGCTCGCTCGCTCGCTCTCTCGCTCGCTCTCGCTCTCTCCTCGCTCGCTCGCTCGCTCGCTCTCGCTCGCTCGCTCGCTCGCTCGCTCGCTCGCTCGCTCGCTCGCTCGCTCGCTCGCTCGCTCGCTCGCTCGCTCGCTCGCTCGCTCGCTCGCTCGCTCGCTGCTGCTCGCTCGCTCGCTCGCTCGCTCGCTCGCTTCTCTTTTCCCCTCTCTGCCCCCCCCCCCCATTCACTTTTCCTTCCCCCCTCTCTGTTTCCTCTCTTTTCCAGCATTACCAACCAACTACTCATGAAAAAGGAGACTTCAATTAAAAACTCCACCATCACCGAAGCCGAAGATGAATAAATTTAATTCGAATAATTGTATAAAAATAAAATTAAATTCCATTAACACTAAATTAACTGCTAACGTACACTACTTATTACTCCTCGTATAAACTAAACTCAAAAGAACAGAAACCAAAACTTTTCATAGTTTTGAAACTAGAATTTATAACCTCAAAAATAACAAACGTAAAAACGGAAAACGCGCAAATTGCTAAATTAACATTTTTAAAATAGCATTTCTTCTTAACATAATAATTTTATTTCCAGTCCTTATAAATGTTTGACCCCCGCGTAATTGTTAATGTTCTTAATTTTATTATAATTTTATAAAAATTATTGTTATAGAAAAAAAAAACAAAGAATTTATTTATAACTTAAACGCAAAAAAGAAAAAGAAAACAAAAAATAACTATGCCTTTTTTATTATAAATACTAACACTAATTTAATTTAGAGAAAATTAAATGTATAAATTAAACTAAACAACAAACTATGTACTCAATAAAACTCTATATAGTTTTGCAAAGTATTTCGAATTTTAAAACAGTTATAAGAAAGTATATTTGCATTTTAAGGATTTTAAACAAAATTTTGTTGGAAAATATGCAAACGATTGAAGATTAATTTAACATTTCATCAACATGAAAAAGTTCCTAACTTTTTTTTTCAAATTTCATTTAATTTTATAAACAATGCAAACATACTTTTCTTTTAATATAATACTTATATCCAGCAAACTATTTAATGAGTAAAACTGATATTAACTGAAACAAAACTAAACAGATATTAGTTATAAAAGAAAAAAAGCTTTAATACAAAATTATTTATACAAAAACTTAAACAAAATAAAAAAATAAAACTAAACGCTAGCAATGAATGTAAGTAAGTAAATAACAAAGATTGTTATAGATAAACAAAAACTAGAAAAAAAAAATTAAATGATTTTAAATATTTGCAATGCACATTTTGAAAAGAATTTTAGCACTGAATTATTATTATATATATTTTTTTGATTTATTATTAGAGAAATTTAAATTATTTACATACATAATGAAAAAAAAACATAACATACATACTATATAAACCCACATACATATACAACATACATATATAATATACTCACTCGTATTAAAACATAAATAATATTTAGTAAATAACTGTAACCCTCGTATATATTTATTAATAACAACTAAATGCAATGTTTAAGACGATATTTAAAGACAAAACTAATAACCAGATAATGAAAACAAAATATTAATAGTTCTTAAATAAATTAAGAAATTAATAAAAACAAAAGCAGAACAAATATTCGAATATAAATAAAGATATCATAAATATATCTGCTAACAGATATTTTTAGTTAAAAAAAAAAGAAAACTCTGGCATTTTTATTTATTAAAGATTCCCAGCAAAAAATAATTGATGTCGTACTTTACAAACTACATCTTAATCACATTTTAAAATAACCCAATATTTCCTTACAAATGAAACCCCAGTTAAAAGTGAGGAAAGAGATGTGGAAAATTCAATACAAATAACCTATTTGAAGTACATCAAGATTTGGTGAAAGAGTAGTGAAATTTACATAAGCGTGTCATTAAGAGAATGTGTTTTATTTTGACATCCAAATATCGGATTTTTACTGCTTCTAAAAATAAGATTAGATGTAGTTCATAGGTTTCATAGGTTTTACACCCGAATTTGAAGCACTTCGGGTTACTAGTTGTGATGAAAATTCTACATCTTTATCTATCTATCTATCTATCTATCTATCTATCTATCTATCTATCTATCTATCTATCTATCTATCTATCTTATCTATCTATCTATCTATCTATCTATCTATCTATCTATCTATCTATCTATCTATCTATCTATCTATCTATCTATCTATCTATCTATCTATCTATCTATCTATCTATCTATCTATCTATCTATCTATCTATCTATCTATCTATCTATCTATCTATCTATCTATCTATCTATCTATCTATCTATCTATCTATCTATCTATCTATCTATCTATCTATCTATCTATCTATCTATCTATCTATCTATCTATCTATCTATCTATCTATCTATCTATCTATCTATCTATCTATCTATCTATCTATCTATCTATCTATCTATCTATCTATCTATCTATCTATCTATCTATCTATCTATCTATCTATCTATCTATCTATCTATCTATCTATCTATCTATCTATCTATCTATCTATCTATCTATCTATCTATCTATCTATCTATCTATCTATCTATCTATCTATCTATCTATCTATCTATCTATCTATCTATCTATCTATCTATCTATCTATCTACTATCTATCTATCTATCTATCTATCTATCTATCTATCTATCTATCTCTATCTATCTATCTATCTATCTAGCTATCTATCTATCTATCTATCTATCTATCTATCTATCTATCTATCTATCTATCTATTCTATCTATCTATCTATCTTCTATCTATCTATCTATCTATCTATCTATCTATCTATCTATCTATCTATCTATCTATCTATCTATCTATCTATCTATCTATCTATCTATCTATCTATCTCTCTATCTATCTATCTATCTAGTCTATCTAGCTATCTATCTATCTAGCTATCTATCTATCTATCTATCTATCTATCTATCTATCTATCTATCTTATCATCTATCTATCTATCTATCTATCGATACTATCTATCTATCTATCTATCTATCTATCTATCTACTATCTATCTATCTATCTATCTATCTATCTATCTATCTATCTATCTATCTATCTATCTATCTATCTATCTATCTATCTAATCTATCTATCTATCTATCTATCTATCTATCTATCTATCTATCTATCTATCTATCTATCTATCTAATCTATCTATCTATCTATCTATCTATCTATCTATCTATCTATCTATCTATCTATCTATCCATCGGGAATGTTGTGAGTTTCTTTACCAGTGTCTCTGGTGGGAATTGAACCCACAACCTCCGGTCTCCCAAACTAGAACACATGCTACTAACCTACGATAGGCTAATATTCCGTAACAAGTTCAGTATTCCGAAAGAATAACTGATCCAGTTAAACTTTTCACTTTCGCAAATAAAAAAATATTTAGTCCTTTGAAATTTTATATAAATTATTTCATTTATTTAAGGCATATTAAAATTGTTATCGTTGGAAGAACATGTTAATGTTTTTTTTTTCGTTTTTTTTTGAGTTTTTTCGAATTTCGATATTAATTTTAAACTGATACGTTATTGGATTGTGTTCGTTAATACAGATTGATAAAAAAAACGTTATCAATTTTAAAATAAATGTTAAACAATATAATTAAATGCTAAAACAAAAAGTTCATAATGGGATTAATGTTAAGGAATTTGTTGTAAAAATATGTTTGTATGTAGTCTTAATTAAACTATAAAATACATACAAACAACTCATTCCAATTGTAAAACTAAAGTTTTTGTGGCACTGGCAATATAATACGCACATTCACGTACATCCTTTGTATATTTTTCAATGGCGGTTTTATCATTCGTATCGAATGAATTGCGTAAATTTTCACAACTATGTTGTATTAAAATATTATTACGCGTCAATTGCATTAGAGTTTCACGTATGGTTTCATTGCAATTGGTCTAAGAGCGAGAATGAAAAATAAGATAATTTTCATAGATATGTATAATCAGAAATCAGAAATGTTTTACTACTTACCGGTGTGGTGAAAACATTAATTAATTCCAAAACAGCGGCCCGAATGCGCTCAGCACAGGGTACTAAAGTTTCACGATTATTCGGATCCTGCATTGAATGTATTAGCTCTTTAAGGCGATGCGTTACAATGTCTGTCTTTTGATTGACTTCCTCGGTAAAGGATTTATCGGCAGCCATTTGATACATAGAGGTGGTATTGCGTGTATCAGCATTTGTTTTCGTTAAACTAGGCTGTAGACGTCGTTCATACATACTGGCTGGTCGTTTAATCGTTGATTGTTGTGAATTTGTAGCCGATGAAGAGGACGAGGCGGATGTTGCTGCTGCTGCCCCGGGATTGCTGTTATTAGTACCTAAACTTGCATTTAAGCCTTCAGGCAAAGAATGGGGTTCATGATCATTTTCAGTGTTTTCAATACGTCTTTTTTAAGTATTTTCAAACAAATTATGAAAATAAAAGAAATAAAAAAATAATAAATAAAAAGAAAATAAAACAAACAAATTAAAATAGTAAATAAATGAATAAATATAATAATTAACTTCCTCACAATGGTTCATCATAGACACTATTATTTGAGGCTGATTTCGATGGTTGTTGTTGCACCGTGGAAAATTTCGATTTCAATTCGGTATTTTCGTTCGATAGCTTTTGTACAACAGTCTTTAATTGATTGATTTCGCTAACATATTCATTGATTTGTTTACGTAAAGTCTCCATTTCAAAATTAGTCATTTCATCGTTTGGTTTGGCTGATTGATGTACAATAGCCTTAAAGTAAAAAAAATCGAAAAAAGAAACGAAAATATAAAATAATAAAAGTTAAGAAATTAAAACTAAAAAAAACTAATAATAAATAATTAAATAAAATAAAAACTAACTAAATTCTAAATAAACTAAAAGTGTTAATTAATGGTAAATAATTTGTTACTAAAACGGTGTTTATTTTCTTTTAATATATGTAAAAGCTTTTTATTATTAATTGACTTAAACTACAGTTGTATATTTAGTACATTATCAAAAGAGAATTTCAATTAAAATATTAAAATATAGAAATTGTTTTTTTCTATTAAAAAATTTATTGCAAAAACTTTTAAATGTCTGTCTGCAAATCTCTAGTATTATGTATTTTAAATATAAATGATTTTAAAAAAATGTGGAGCAGTGATTGTTACAATTGACTTTGATGCTTCTCATTTAGATTCCACAAAATAGAAAATTTTCGACAAATTTTCGATTTTTATAGAAAATTTTCGATAAATTATCGATTTTTATAGAAAACTTTCGATAAATTTTCTATTTTTTAATGGAAAATTTTCGTTAAATTTTATTTTATAATGGAAAATTTTCGACAAATTTTCTATTTTTATAGAAAAATTTCGATAAATTTGATATTTTTATAGAAAAATTTCGATAAATTTTCGATTTTTATAGAAAATTTTCGATAAATTTTCGATTTTTATAGAAAATTTTCGATAAATTTTCGATTTTTATAGAAAATTTTCGATAAATTTTCGATGTTTTATATTTATAGAAAATTTTCGATAAATTTTCGATGTTTTATATTTATAGAAAATTTTCGATAAATTTTCGATTTTTATAGAAAATTTTCGATTTTTACAGAAAATTTTCGATAAATTTTCGATTTTTATAGAAAAATTACGATAAATTTTCTATTCTTATAGAATATTTTAAAAAAAAATTAAAAAAAAATTAAAAAAATTTTATAGAAAAAATTCGACAAATTTTCGATTTTAATAGAAAACTTTCGATAAATTTTATATTTTTATAGAAAACTTTCGATAAATATTCTATTTTTTTAGAAAACTTTCGATAAATTTTCTATCTTTATAGAAAACTTTCGATAAATTTCCTTTTTTTATAGAAAAAATTCGATAAATTATAGATTTTTATAGAAAATTTTCGATAAATTTTCTATTTTTATAGAAAATTTTCGATAAATTTTTATAGAAAACTTTCGATAAATTTTCTATTTTTATAGAAAACTTTCGATAAATTTTTGATTTTTATAGAAAATTTTCGATAAATTTTCGATTTTTATAGAAAATTCGATAAATTTTTTATTTTTATAGAAAACATTCGATAAATTTTCTATTTTTATAGAAAACATTCTATAAATTTTCTATTTTTATAGAAAACATTCGATAAATTTTCTATTTTTATAGAAAACTTTCGATAAATTTTCTATTTTTATGGAACATTTTCGATAAATTTTCTATTTTTATAGAAAACATTCGATAAATTTTCTATTTTTATAGAAAATTTTCGATAAATTCTCTATTTTTATAGAAAATTTTTGATAAATTTTCTATTTTTATAGAAAAATTAAGAAAATTTTTCTATTTTTATAGAAGATTTTCGATAAATTTTCTATTTTTATAGAAGATTTTCGATAAATTTTCTATTTTATTTATTTTTATTTTTATTTTCTATTTTTTTGTAGAAAATTTTTGATAAATTTTCTATTTTTGTAGAAAATTTTCGATAAATTTCTATTTTTGTAGAAAATTTTCCATAAATTTCTATTTTTGTAGAAAATTTTCGATAAATTTCTATTTTTGTAGAAAATTTTCGATAAATTTTCTATTTTGATAGAAATTTTACGATAAATTTTCTATTTTTATAAAAAATTTTCTATAAATTCTATTTTATAAATATAAATTTTTAATTTTTATAGAAAATTTTCGATAAATTTTCGTTTTTTATAGAAAATTTTCGATAAATTTTCTATTTTTATAGAAAACTTTCGATAAATTTTCTATTTTTATGGAACATTTTCGATAAATTTTCTATTTTTATAGAAAATTTTCGTTAATTTTTCGTATTTTATATAAAATTTTCGATAAGATTTCTTATTTTATAAAAAATTTTCGATAAACTTTTCTATTTTTATAAAACATTTTCGATAAAATTTCTATTTTTATAAATTTTCTATATTTATAAAAAATTTTCGATAAAATTTTCTATATTTATATAAAATTTTCGATTCTAATAGAAAATTTTGGAAAAATTTTCGATTTTTGTAGAAATTATCGATAAATTTTCGATTTTTATAGGAAATTTTCGACAAATTTTCTATTTTAATGGAGAATTTTCGATAAATTTTCTATTTTTATGGAAATTTTCGATAAATATTCTATTTTTATTGAAAATTTTCGATAATTTTCTCTAAATTTTCTATTTTTATATTTTTCTATTTTTATAGAAAATTTTCGATACATTTTCTATTTTTATAGAAAACTTCCTATAAATTTTCTATTTTTATAGAAAACTTCCGATAAATTTTCTATTTTTATAGAAAACATTCGATAATTTTCTATTTTTATAGAAAATTTTCGATAAAATTTTCTATATTTATATAAAATTTTCGATTTTAAAAGAAAATTTTCGATAAATTTTCGATTTTTATAGAAAACTTTCGATAAATTTTCTATTTTTATGGAAAATTTTCGATAAATTATCGATATTTATAGTAAATTTTCAATATGTTTTCTATTTTAATAGAAAATTTTCAACAAATTTCCTATTTTTTACGAAAATGTTCAACAAATTTTCTATTTTTAAAGATAATGTTCAACAAATTTTCCATTTTTTAATGAAAGTTTTCAACAAATTTTCTATTTTTAAAGAAAATTTTCAACAAATTTTCTATTTTTACAAAAAAATTTCAACAAATTTTCTATTTTTATAAAAAAATTTTCTATTTTTGTAGAAAATTAAAAATATTTTCTTTTCTAAAAGATTTCGATAAAATCTCAAATTTTAAAACAAAATTTTCGATAAATTTTCACTTTTTAAAAAAATTTTCGATAAATTTTCTATTTTTATAGAAAACATTCGATAAATTTTCTATTTTTATAGAAAACTTTCGATAAATTTTCTATTTTTATGGAAATTTTTGGTAAATTTTTGGTATTTTATATAAAATTTTCGATAAGATTTCTTATTTTATAAAAACTTTTCGATAAACTTTTCTATAAATTATCGATAAATTTTCGATTTTTATAGGAAATTTTCAACAAATTTTCTATTTTAATGGAAAATTTTATAGGAAATTTTCTATTTTTAAAGAAAACATTCGATAATTTTCTATTTTTATAGAAAATTTTCGATAAAATTTAAACAAAATTTTCGATAAATTTTCACTTTTTAAAAAAATTTTCGATAAAATTTCTCTTATAGAAATTTTTTGGAACTCAAGTCCTTATAAGTCCCCAAACCTTTATCCTTCTATCATCCACAATCCATTTAAGAACCAAACGATTATGATGTGGGGTTTTCTTAAATTCACAAACACATAAATTAATCATTATAAATCGAAAAAAGTCCGAAAGATGTTAAAAACACATAAAACTTAAATTAATCTCTAACAATTTTGAGATCTTTTTTATAACGACAAATAGCGTAAACGATTCTTAAATAACAACGCCATATTGGAGATTTTTTATGCAACGCTAAAGAAACTCTTTTAGACGATTCGACCATAACGTTATGTCGCGTTTATAGTTACTAAATTACAATAACATTTATTTTCAAGTTTATGCACAAAGTCAATTGTAACATTGTCCTACACTTGTGTGGGTGTTTGTATGTAAGTTTTTAAATTGCTATATGATGTATATGATTTGTTTTGTTTTAAACTAAATCTAATTTTAAGTATATGATGGTTTTACTAAAATTAAACAACTAGAACTTTTTTGAGGGAACAAAAGCAAGAAAATAAAACAAAACATTGCTCTAGTTGTTCCGTAAAAAGTATTTTTTTATAAATTATAAATTGCTAAATTCATTAAAATATTATGATGATTATTTGAGCTTTTTTAATATAAAATAGTTTAGATCATTATGTGTATGTATGCATTTTATGCACAATTAGCAATTGAAAAGTAGTACATATGTAAGTATTTTATAAGTTTTACTACAATATATTATAAAATTTAACCAAAACTGTTATTGAGTTTTAAGATCTTTTGACGCATTAAATTTACCTGCTGTGCTATAGGTGGCATTGGTTCATAATCATCATCGGCAACTGGATCATATATAGGTTCATCATCTGATAGATTTGGATCATGATAATCACCGCCAGTTGTTGAAATATTATTAATATTATAAAAGCCAGAAGCATTATTGTTATTATTTGGCATGCTGGCAGACGAAGAGGGACCATCTAGTGGACGTAGATTTGCCATATTTTGACGTCGTCGTGCATCAATTAAAACATCCGTTAACAAGCCATTGAATTCAGCACGAGTAAAACGTGCCAGCTTTTGACGACCCTGAATTAAAACAACAACAAAATTGTATTTAAAAAAATTAATTTTTTTTAGGAATTAAATTAATATTGTGGCAAAGCTTTTTTAGTAAAAATTATAAATATATCTTTATTCCCCTACCTGATTACGTGTGGCACTTAAAAATGGATTTGCTGGTAAAAATGGCACTGCAACATTTTCACCGTTCATGGTGGATGTAGCCCATACTGTTGGGTAGAAGAGGTTTTATTATATTTGATATTTTGTTACTTTATAGTGGTAGTTGTTAACTTACTGGCCTCATTTTCTCTACGATCAACTTCGTCGTATAGATCCATAACAAGTTCTTCGAACATTTTATTGGGCACTAATTGCAAACGTCCTCTTGCAATCTTCAATTTAGTCTATAGTCTAGTCTATAGTTTAGTCTATAGTCTAGTCTATAGTCTAGTCTATAGTCTAGTCTATAGTCTAGTCTATAGTCTAGTCTATAGTCTAGTCTATAGTCTAGTCTATAGTCTAGTCTATAGTCTAGTCTATAGTCTAGTCTATAGTCTAGTCTATAGTCTAGTCTATAGTCTAGTCTATAGTCTAGTCTATAGTCTAGTCTATAGTCTAGTCTATAGTCTAGTCTATAGTCTAGTCTATAGTCTAGTCTATAGTCTAGTCTATAGTCTAGTCTATAGTCTAGTCTATAGTCTAGTCTAGTAGTCTATAGTCTAGTCTATAGTCTAGTCTATAGTCTAGTCTATAGTCTAGTCTATAGTCTAGTCTATAGTCTAGTCTATAGTCTAGTCTATAGTCTAGTCTATAGTCTAGTCTATAGTCTAGTCTATAGTCTAGTCTATAGTCTAGTCTATAGTCTAGTCTATAGTCTAGTCTATAGTCTAGTCTATAGTCTAGTCTATAGTCTAGTCTATAGTCTAGTCTATAGTCTAGTCTATAGTCTAGTCTATAGTCTAGTCTATAGTCTAGTCTATAGTCTAGTCTATAGTCTAGTCTATAGTCTAGTCTATAGTCTAGTCTAGTCTAGTCTATAGTCTAGTCTATAGTCTAGTCTATAGTCTAGTCTATAGTCTAGTCTATAGTCTAGTCTATAGTCTAGTCTATAGTCTAGTCTATAGTCTAGTCTATAGTCTAGTCTATAGTCTAGTCTATAGTCTAGTCTATAGTCTAGTCTATAGTCTAGTCTATAGTCTAGTCTATAGTCTAGTCTATAGTCTAGTCTATAGTCTAGTCTATAGTCTAGTCTATAGTCTAGTCTATAGTCTAGTCTATAGTCTAGTCTATAGTCTAGTCTATAGTCTAGTCTATAGTCTAGTCTATAGTCTAGTCTATAGTCTAGTCTATAGTCTAGTCTATAGTCTAGTCTATAGTCTAGTCTATAGTCTAGTCTATAGTCTAGTCTATAGTCTAGTCTATAGTCTATAGTCTCTAGTCTATAGTCTAGTCTATAGTCTAGTCTATAGTCTAGTCTATAGTCTAGTCTATAGTCTAGTCTATAGTCTAGTCTATAGTCTAGTCTAGTCTATAGTCTAGTCTAGTCTATAGTCTAGTCTATAGTCTAGTCTATAGTCTAGTCTATAGTCTAGTATATAGTCTAGTCTATAGTCTAGTCTATAGTCTAGTCTATAGTCTAGTCTATAGTCTAGTCTATAGTCTAGTCTATAGTCTAAGTCTATAGTCTAGTCTATAGTCTATCTATAGTCTAGTCTATAGTCTAGTCTCTATTTAGTCATAGTCTAGTCTATAGTCTAGTCTATAGTCTAGTCTATAGTTATTCTATAGTCTAGCTAGTCTAGTCCTATAGTCTAGTATATAGTCTAGTCTATAGTCTAGCTAGTCTAGTCTAGTCTAGTCTAGTCTAGTCTATAGTGCTAGTCTATAGTCTGTCTATAGTTCTAGTCTATAGTCTAGTCTATAGTCTAGTCTATAGTCTAGTCTATAGTCTAGTCTATAGTCTAGTCTATAGTCTAGTCTATAGTCTAGTCTATAGTCTAGTCTATAGTCTAGTCTATAGTCTAGTCTATAGTCTAGTCTATAGTCTAGTCTATAGTCTAGTCTATAGTCTAGTCTCTAGTCTAGTCTATAGTCTAGTCTATAGTCTAGTCTATAGTCTAGTCTATAGTCTAGTCTATAGTCTAGTCTATAGTCTAGTCTATAGTCTAGTCTATAGTCTTAGTCTATAGTCTAGTCTATAGTCTAGTCTATAGTCTAGTCTATAGTCTAGTCTATAGTCTAGTCTATAGTCTAGTCTATAGTCTAGTCTATAGTCTAGTCTATAGTCTAGTCTATAGTCTAGTCTATAGTCTAGTCTATAGTCTAGTCTATAGTCTAGTCTATAGTCTAGTCTATAGTCTAGTCTATAGTCTAGTCTATAGTCTAGTCTATAGTCTAGTCTATAGTCTAGTCTATAGTCTAGTCTATAGTCTAGTCTATAGTCTAGTCTATAGTCTAGTCTATAGTCTAGTCTATAGTCTAGTCTATAGTCTAGTCTATAGTCTAGTCTATAGTCTAGTCTATAGTCTAGTCTATAGTCTAGTCTATAGTCTAGTCTATAGTCTAGTCTATAGTCTAGTCTATAGTCTAGTCTATAGTCTAGTCTATAGTCTAGTCTATAGTCTAGTCTATAGTCTAGTCTATAGTCTAGTCTAGTCTAGTCTATAGTCTAGTCTATAGTCTAGTCTATAGTCTAGTCTATAGCTCTAGTCTATAGTCTAGTCTATAGTCTAGTCTATAGTCTAGTCTATAGTCTAGTCTATAGTCTAGTCTATAGTCTAGTCTATAGTCTAGTCTAGTCTATAGTCTAGTCTATAGTCTAGTCTATAGTCTAGTCTATAGTCTAGTCTATAGTCTAGTCTATAGTCTAGTCTATAGTCTAGTCTATAGTCTAGTCTATAGTCTAGTCTATAGTCTAGTCTATAGTCTAGTCTATAGTCTAGTCTATAGTCTAGTCTATAGTCTAGTCTATAGTCTAGTTTTAAACATGTCTACAAACTCATGAAACCTTCTCCGTTGATATGGTGTAGGATATAAATTTCAAAATACATATACGTAAAATTTTATCACCAATTACGCATTTTATCACTATTAATTATTTGCAAAACTACACCCCACACAAACGGTCATGACTCATTATTAATTAATATTTATTTAATTAACATACCGTATGATCTGGTTTCTTGCCACCCAAAAACATAATAATACGATCGCTGACCTCATACATGCCATCTAGCAAACGTTCAGCAATTAATGTATGATTATTGGCTTTTGCCACCTCTAACGGTGTTAGACCATTGCCATCGATGGCATTTATATCGGCTCCATAAACAATTAACAACTCAATTTGTGAAGCCTGACCAAATTTAGCGGCCACATGTAAAGGTGTCGAACGTTTTTCTTCATGAAAGAAATTCGGATCAGCACCCTGCACCAAAAGACGTAACGAAGTCTCTAAATTACTGGTACGTACACTGGCATGCAGTTGTTTACTTAGTTCATGTTCTAAATTAGCACCAGTGATGTCATCGTCGGTATCTTGTAGATTGGGCTTCAAGACAAAAGCCAATTGTACATGTTTGGCTTTAATGAAATCAGATTTATTGGGATGTAGTGGGTCTTTGGGTGAGGGTTTACGTATACGAGGTAAACCCTTAGCTCCAGATGAAGTGGTACCATCTAATAAATGATGTTCCCAAACACTGTTGGCACCGTGAGCATTTAAAGAATTGACAAAATTCAAAACAGAAGGTTCCCAAGTACCTTGACGTAAAGATTTCACTATGGATATGTGTCTACCCAAACTGCGGTGTACAGAGCAGCAATCAGAGCACAGAAGTATGCCTCGATTTATGGAGGCCCAAGATGGATCTAAAAGAACGTCATGTCATTATGATTATTATATAAAACCAAACTTAATTTCTTATATTAAATACCTGATGCCCCACAATCACCACACACTTCCGTTTGTATACGTGTTTTGCTACGAGACATTTTCGAGTTTTTCAAACTATTACTATTGCTGCCTCCACCCGCGCCACTCAAACTACCACGCTTATCGCTGCGTATACCTTTAATGTCACTCAAGGAGTCCCGCTTGTCATTAGCTGCTGCACTACTACCGCTGCCACTACCACTGTTGCTATTGCCACCACCCGCGTTTGCTATAAATAGCTTTTTATGCGCTTCCACAACACTGCTGGCGAAACACATTCATGCCCTTTTACACAAAACAATTAAAACCATAAAATTCTTTACAACAACTATGAGGTATGTTGCAACACTTGATGTTTCTGTTTTCTATTCAATTGCATTTACAGAAAACACCCACAATCATTATGTGAAGGGAGTAGAAGTTAGTATCTGTTGTATGTAAATGGAAACAAAAATGTTTTCCGTCTGCCTTTTTTGGTGGATTGTATTGGATAATTAAAAGTTTTAATTTAAAAGTTTTTTATTTACAGTTTTATGTAATTATGTTTCGTAGTTTTATTATCGTTTTTTTAATATTAATTATTTTTTAGCACAATTATCATAAAATTATGAAAATTTTCACTCGCGTTTATATTTTCTTCTTCTTCGTCTGGCAAAATTTCATTCATACTGTAATGATAACATGAGTAAATGTCAGGGTTAGGAAAAAAGTATAGTTTTGTTTTGTAGATCACTGATACTTGTAAAAAAAAAATCGATAAGTCGGATGAAATCGTAAAGATATAGTTAGAAAAAGCCGATATTTATTGAGTTATAATAAATAAAATAAATTTTATTAATAATAAGTCAATTAACCGACTAGACTTGACAATATATTCGACTATGGAATATATTGGTTTGTGTTCTAGTTTGGTAGACCGGAGGTGGTGGGTTCGATTCCCACCTGAGGCACTGTTTAAGAAGCGCACAACAGGTCCGATAGAGGCCCAGGTGTATTTCTTCGGATTTGGTGTACATATATAGATCCTCCATTCAAACTAACTATATACTATACTATAGTATAGACTAGACTATAGACAAGACTATAGACTAGACTATAGACAAGACTATAGACTAGACTATAGACTAGACTATAGACTAGACTATAGACTAGACTATAGACTAGACTATAGACTAGACTATAGACTAGTCTATAGACTAGACTATAGACTAGACTATAGAATAGACTATAGACTAGACTATAGACTAGACTATAGACTAGACTATAGACTAGTCTATAGACTAGTCTATAGACTAGACTATAGACTAGACTATAGAATAGACTATAGACTAGACTATAGACTAGACTATAGACTAGACTATAGACTAGACTATAGACTAGACTATAGACTAGACTATAGACTAGACTATAGACTAGACTATAGACTAGACTATAGACTAGACTAAAGACTATACTTTGGAACAGACTATAGACTAGACTATAGAATGGATTATAGACTAGATTATTGCATAGACTATAGACAACACACTATACTAAAATATAGACTTTAGACTAGACTATAGACTTTTATTGAAACATTTGTGTATAATAGTTTTTTCTTTAATAATTTTCAACCCCCTTTCCTCTTCAAATTTTGCAACGCAAGTCTATTCAGCTTTAAAAAAAAAACTAATAATTTATATTAAAATATGAAAAAAATTGTTCTTTTATTACATAAAAATATTCTACTTAAAGTTAATTAACAATGTTAGACATTTTAGAATTTTGAATTTAATTGAGCTAAAATTTAAATAAAAATCGAGTAAAGGTCCTATAACAATGATACAAATTATTTGCCAAATTTTATAATTATTTAGTTAAATATCACACAAATTCATACTTTCACTAAAACTTAAAAATACATATTTTATGAAAAAAAAAATAAAATAATAAAAAAAATAATAAAAGTAAATCAAAATAATCATAAATTTCCAAATAAAGCCGCCAAAAAATAATAATGTAAAAAATCACACAAACAAACAATTATCAGTATTTAAAAAATTACAATATTAAAGTCTTTTTAAAAGTATTAATTATATATTTAGAGAGGAAATCCAGTAGGTTGTAGCAGTAGTTTAAACGAAATATTTTTTTTTTTTTTTTTTTTTTGTAAGAAATTCATATTGTAGCAAAATCACTTAGATTGCGTTCCGGTTGTACCATATTTGAGGGCATTAATTGCACCAGTTTATTGAATAGAAACGAACGACGAGAACGTAAATCATAAATGAAATCATTACGTGAACGTTTGCCACCCGATTTGCGATAAGCTGTATAGGAAGAGGCAGCATCTGATATACCTGAAGATGTAGTAGAACTTTCACAGGATTCCATAGATAAATCTTCAGTAGCTTGTGTATGATCACTGGCAGCATCTGCAGATTTTGTATAAATATCTATATAGATTTTATTTTTATTTTTTTTTTTATTAAATTGTTGTGAGTGCTATTTGTTGTTTTAGTTTACCTTCTTCATTAGTTGAAGATGAAGTTATGTCTGAACTAGATTCGGCTAAAGATTTTCCAGCACCTATAGGTAATGTATCTAAATTAGGCTGTTCCATTTCGACATCATCATCAATTTTAAAAAGCAATGAAGCTAATTTATGGAACTAGGAAATAAATATTAGAAATTTTACATTATTTTGTTGATCTAAAGGGGAGTTTTACATAGAGTAAGACATAGAAGGGAAACTCTGCAACATTTTTTTAGTGTTTGTTATTGTTTGAGTCTCCTCTCTATGTATTACTCTTATGTTTTTGTTGTTTGTTACTAACATTTTTCAATTGTTCTTTATTATTATGATCAATGACTTCAGCTATATGTTGCCTTAAGAATTGCATAGCTTTATAAGGATCCGATTTGGCCATCTCTTCATAGTGTAATTTACGCAACAAAAAACGACAATGTCTCAAAATTTCATCACGTTTCGGTCTAAGAACAATAATTATTAAAATTTTTCTATAATTTTTTATCTTAAACTTACTTTTCCAATTCTAAAATCCAAAAATCATCTAATCTCAGTTGAGGAGTAGTAGATCTACCCGGATTACCACCAAAAAGATAATGAAGTTTAGCCACTTCATCATAAACCAATTGATGAGCATAACGAGGACAAGGTTCTAACATATTATCCTTATTGTGAACATCATCTGTTGCAGTAGAATTGGTGTAATTGTAACGACACGAATAGATTCGAGACCAAGTATGAGTATCTAAGGAATAGACCCAAAATGAATTGGAGGCATCTGGTGTATTGGGAACATCACGACGATCTTTAATTTTACTTAAACTCTGAAAAAAAAAAATCGAATCTGAAAATTTCTCTTATAAAGCTAGAATTCAAAATTCGAACTTACTGAGAAAATATAAATTTCATTACGTTCACAATCGATTGTGGCCCTAAGAGCTACCGGTGATGGTTCACTTTTACCATCGTTATTAGTAGCACTATTAGCATTGGAACCACCAGCTGCTGCTGATGTTATTGTTCCGGCGGTTTGTCCACCATTTGAATTTCTATTTAGAAATTCTAATGATTGATTATCGACATCGTATGTTATGAAATCGTGTATGTCTTCTTTGCCCCGTTGACCTCCATAAATGTAAAGTTTACGTTTTTTCTATAATTTCGCAAACAAATTGGATAAAAATTGATAATTTTCTTAATTTTGAATAATTTTTTAAAAGAATTTATATAATTTGCAATGTTAAAATAATCATCCGATTTCATAAAATTTTTGAAAAAGTTGAGCTTATGTTCGAAAACCTTATTTTTACAACTATAGAAATCGATTAAAATTTTCGAATTCAAAAAATTCTTGGATTTGTATTTTTGACGTAGATTCAGAATATGAATTTCTTAAGATATATCCGAAAATTCGAACTCATTTTCGAAAATTCGAACTTATGTTCGAAAAATTTTTTAAACTGCTAAAATTATCTCCAAAACATAATGATTTATAAAAATATCATTTTTCCTAAATTTAACATAAACATAAAATTTTTTGAACAAAATCACCAAATTTTAATGAATTTTAAAGTATTTTCAAAATAGTTTCAGAATACAACCTTGTCAGGTATGTTCGAAAATTCGAACTCATTTTCGAAAATTCGAACTTATGTTCGAAAAATTTTTATAAGTGTTAAAATTAAAATAATCTCCAATTCATAAGATTAATAAAAATATATCTTTTTTTTTTTTTGAATTTAAGTCTAATTTCTTGCATTTTTCAATTTCGAACTTACAAATTCTGAAAATAATTACAAGATTATCATGAATTTTTAAAGTGTTTTCAATGTAGTTTTAGAACACAAGCTTTTTAATGTAAGTTCGAAAATTCGAACTTATGTTCGAAAAAATTTTAAAACTGTTAAAATAATCTCCAAATCATTACGATCCATAAAAACATATTTTTTTCTGAAATTAAGTCCAATTTCTTGCATTTTTCATTTTCGAACTTAAATTTTGTTTAAAATATGGCAAAATTTTAATGTAATTTCTATATAACTTCAAAATACAAGCTTTTTAAGGTATGTTCGAAAATTCGAACTTATGATCGAAAAATTTTTTAAACTGCTAAAATAATCTCCAAATCATAAGGATTCATTTCTTGCATTTTTCAATTACGAACTTAAAAGATTTTAAAATAATTTCAAGATTACAAGAATTTTTAATGTTTTTACGTTCGAGAATTCGAACTCGTTTTCGAAAATTCTTAATTCAAATTTATACTCACATTATGAAACACCATACAATGAGTTATGCGCGATTTTATAGACAACACCTCCGGTTGAGAGGCCGTAGGATGATGACAATCTACCAAAATCTGATTCCAAGTATTCGTAGCAATATGATAAGAAAACAAACCCGAATACTCGGGTTCACTTGAGGTTGAAGCGCTAACACTGCGTGGTGTCAATATCTTACCGCCAAACACATAAATTGTTCGCTTATCCACATCAATACACATTTGATGATCATACATTAGCTGAGGACCACCTACTTGACTAGTGTCATCACATATCTGCAACCAAGTGCGAGCTCTTGTATCATACAAAAAGAAATCACTTTTTATATATTCTGTAGTACGTATGGAATTGTCCAAATAACGGCCGAGCATGAAAATATTTTTGCTTACAGGATCGAAAACCATTTTATGACATGATCTTGGTGTGGGACCATTATATTGTTCGGTATGTTCGAAAAGTTGAGTCCAACAATTGTTGCGTATATCGAATACCCATAAATCACTTAAATCTTGAAAGCCATTCCAGCCACCATACAGATAAATAAGACGTTTTTGAGAATCCATAACCAGTTGGTGGCCACCACGGTTACCTTTTAACAACATCAACATAAACTTGTTTTACTTATTATAAGATAAGAGATTTCCTAATTACCTGGTTGTTTACTGCCTTGGGCATGCTGTAAACGCCAAGCATGTTTATAATCTTGACGATTTAAATAATCATCCATTAAACCCTCATCCACACAATCACTAATGAATTTCTCTGCCTTATCAAAATCACCATTAACTACCAAACATTGATGCAGTTCTGTAATCAAAGGATGTTCGAGTCTTACATGGGTTTGTTCTTGTAAAGCTTTAAAAGCTGATTCATAACCCTGTTGCCGAAAGTGCTTTAGACATAAACGTATAATTTCCATCTCGCGCAGCTGTCCGGAGGAAAAAATTTCAACACACATATTAAGAAAAGCAACAAATAATAATCCATATATAATTAAAATACCTTATTATAATCCCTTAAACAAACACTAGTATACATGGGATCATCCTGACCCAAAAGTTCAATAAACCAAATGCTATAGTTAAATGTGGGACCCCACGACAATAATGGTACAATTTTCAAATACATTATGGGTAAATTACTGGTAATTTCACTGCGTAAACTAAATGTTTCTGGTATATGATCATTTCGTAGTCCCCTGCAGCGTTGAAAGGAAATAAATTAATGAAAATTGTTTTAATTATTTAATTATATTTACCCTTCTAGCAATAGAACCATACGTTCTTCATCCAAACCGCCATAGATGCGAAATTTCTTTATATTGCAAACATGCGACTTTTCGAATTTACCAAATTTTATTTTACGAACAATGGCAGGTCTTCGTAATTTTAAAGTTAAATATTGAGGTGGATTATTATTAAATGCTGACCAGCGTGACGACTGATCAGTGGGACAGTCTACTAGTATATTTCTGGAAGAAAAGAAAGTTATAAAATAGTAGGATATAACTGTATATTAAGTACACTATGGATTAGTCATGGAACAAGTCCATTTACTGATCTATGGACTAGTCTATTAACTTATCTATAGACTATGTGTCTATTGACTTGTCTGTAGACGTGTCTATTGACAAGACTGCGGACTAGTTTATTGATTAGTCTATGGTCGAGTCTACTGAATTTTCTATAGACGAGGCTATGGTCTAGTATACAGGGAAGTCTATAGAAGACTCTATTGACGGATCAATAGAAGAACCTATTGATTAGCATATAGAAGAGGCTATTGACTAGACTATAGACGAGACGATTGACTAGTCTATTGACTATTCTATAGACGAGTCTATTGATTACTCTATAGACTAGTCTATTGACTATGTATTCTATAATCGATTATATAGACTAATCTAGTCCATTGATGAGTCTATTTACTAGTTGCTAATCCATTGACTAGCATTTAGACGATTACATTGACTAGCATTTAGACGAGTCTATTGGGTACTCTAAAGACTAGTATATTGACTACTATAGACGTCTGTTAATGACGCTATTCGCTACTCTATAGACTAGTCTATTGCCTTTATAGACTAGTATACTGACTACTCTATAAAAGAGTATTCACTAATCTAGTCTATAGACGAGTCTGTTAATGATGCTATTTGCTACTCTATAGACTAGCCTGTTGCCAACTCTATTTACTTACTATGAATCTACATATTAGTAAGTTTACAGATCAATCTATTGAAAAGTATTGATTACCCATAAAACCCTCAGATTTTCCGGTTTAACTTCGAAATTATAAAATACGGAATTTAAAGACCGGCTTATGAAAAATATGTTATGCAAAGCATATTTTTTTATTAAACTCTGCCTTCAGCTAACATTCACAATATACCCATTAATAATATAGGGTCATTCCCGTTTTAATACGAAAAAAAAAACTTTAATATTATTTGGTTCCCTTCGAATAAGCCCCGACGATACTAAAATGCCGTCTACTGCGCAGTTAACAGCACTGCATTTGTGTTTCTTAAATCTACGATAAACGTAAACAATAAAAAACAACAATAATTCTATATGTAAATTTATAAATGTCCTAAGTTGTTGTTTATTTTTATAATTTTTTTACCTTCTTTCTCTCACTCCCTCTTTGTTTTACTTATATTTTTGTCTTATTTTATTAAATACTTTGCATACTTGTTTTTGTTTAAGAATTCAAGCAAAAAATAATAAAAACAGAAGCAGCAGCAGACAGACACAGAGATGGACGGACAAAAAGACAGAATAGCTGTAAATCAAGGCTGCATAATTGTTTTTGTTCTTATTATACATGGCTACAAAAGAAGAAAATAAAACGCGAAAGTTATGCAAATTACATAGATAAAAAATAAAATGAAATTTTCTTAATTTTCATGTTTTCTTTTTAACCATTCGTTCACTATATTCCGATGCACTTACTCTGGCACATAGTTGGTGGAAAATGAAGAATAACGATGTATCTCATAGGGCAATTTTTCAATATCTTCCAAATTTAAAGTCTTTTTTGTAGGAGGTTTCAATTCTGGCAACATATCGGTTTCTTGTGTAGTGTTCACAGTGCTGCTGCTAAAAATTGTGGACGAAGAACTGCTGGTGACACCGCCACCGATACCGCCATAGCTCATCAAGGTGTTGTTTGTCTGCGTAGGTGTTGTTGTTGTTGTATTACCATTATCGCTCATTTGTGAAGCCATTCTTTTGTTCTTAAAAATTATATTTATTGATTAGCAATATTATTGTCTTTATCACTTGTTATTAATATTAATTTTAAAAAATGTATTATATATATAGTCGAGTTTTTGTGTTTTTTTTTAAATTTAGTGCAAAAAATCGTTGTTGTTTAACAAAATCTTTTTTATACGAAAATAATCAGTCAACTGCTTCTTCTTTATATTTATTTGCAAATAATTCAAACTGCAATGTTAGCTAGTAATGATAATTTTGCGATTTTTTTATTATAGATTTTATTAAAGCTGCCTACATATGGAAAGTTATAAAAAGGGATTTCCCTATTTAATTTTTTTATATTAGCTGAACCCGATCGAGATAGATCCCAGAAATTCTAGACTTACAATTAAAAAAGGCTATCAACTCTTAAAAATTGTCAAAATTTATTTACATGGTATGTGTTAATATACATAATGTTTTATATATGTAAATATGAGGTTAAAATATATATACAAGTCTAAGCTGGAGAAACTGTGTTTTTTCTAAATTTAAAAATATTATTTTTCCATTGATATTCGCTAAATATATATTGAGACTTAAATCACAATAATAATATTCCTATTGAGTTATTGTGAATGCCAGTGACATTGTGTCAATGAAAAATATGCTTATAACGGCGTTAAGAAAAATTTTCAGCAACTTTGTATTCTTATCGCCATTTTTGTGTATATCGAACAACGGAATAAAAAAAAGACATACCAAGAAAAAATCCAATTCGAATATAATAAATTCTATAAAATTATAAAATTTTTTAATAACGGGCAATTTAGCTAGTTGCCGTTTAAATTTAAATTAAATAATACATATATTTTCTATTAAATAGCAAAAATTAATTAAAGTAAAAAGCAAAAAATAAACCAAAGAAGTAAAAGAAAAAAGTGTTCTCTTTCAGTGGTGTTGCTCCGTTTCTGCTGCTGCTACTGCTAAAAAAAAAGTGACACACACCAAAGTGAAATTTAGCGCAGATTTTTGCGTATATTTTGTGAAATTATATTAAAAAAAGAGAAAAAAAAGCCAAAAAATATATCTGGTTAATTTTTATCAACTACAAATTTATTTTTCAACGGAACAGTACTTAAAAACAAAACAAAATGGTAATTACAATTTTAGCAATTATATTTTTGTGAAAATTATTTATATTTTTAAAATTATATTATTGTTTTAAGTTATTTATTGGTTGTTCCCATATGATTCGTTACGTATAGGAATTTGTTGGCTACAAAATTTGGGCCACGAAAAATTATATGAAGAAAAAAATACAACCACTATTGCCACCTGTATAAGGGGACTGCCAACAATTTCAGTCCACTTTTTCTGCCTCCCCCTACGCATGAACGAAACAAAAAAATGAATAAATATATAAAAACTCTACATTGCCATAGTATAGACGACGATGACGACTATTTTTTTATTTTCTGCATTTTTGTTTCAGTTTAGGCAGTGGCGAGCTAGACATTCTTTAGCATTTGCCCTGTGTTTTAGCCTAAGAAACTGGCAAATTAGCTAAGCCTAGCTTTTTATATATCTCAAATTTTTGTGGCCTATTTCTTAGGTTTATGACTTTACATTATTTTGTCTTTATATTCCTTTTAAGGCCATATAAAATAGCTCTTTTAATAATGCAGACTGTATGAACAAATGTAATAAAGAAAATTTTATGAAAATCCTTTAAATTAGAACACAATTGAAGTGGCACACATTTTCAAAAGTTTTGTGTCCATGACTCTTTTTCTTTTCGTTATGTACATTCATGTATACATTAGTATACTCGATGACATAGATATAACTCCAAAATTTAATAAATACTGCCATGAAAATATGTATTTGTTTTTATACCCCATATCAGTCTTGGAAAACTGCAATTTTTATATAATAATAACTTTTTATAGGATTATTGATATATATTTTTTTTTATAAAATATTTAGAAATTCAGCAATATATCAATTTTATGCAGACTAAGGTCTAGTGTTTTGAGTATTATTTGACTTTAGACTAGATTATAGCCTAATTATGGTCAAGTGTATGGACTATTGACAAATTGGTTCACAAACTTATGGAATAATAGTCAACTTAGTCTAAAGTCTAATGTGAAGTTTAATCTATAGTGTAGTCTACAGTTTAGTCTATAATCTAGTCTTTAGTCTATAGTTGATAGTCTAGTTCTAGTCTAGTCTATTGTGCATTTTCTAGTCTATATTCTAGTCTAGTCTTTAGTATAGTATATATTGTAGTTTATAGTCTTGAATATAATCTTGTCTAAAGTCTAGTCTATAGCCAATTCAATAGCCAAGTCTATAATACAATTTATTCTTAGTCTGTGAATATTGCTTAGAAACCACCCTATTGTATATGTTTGGCTACTCAAACAGTTTCTTCGTTTAAACATAGCTATAGGGTATAATATAATCGTCAACGCCTTATATTTAAACATATACTTTAATTTGCTTATTTTATTACCTTGGGGACCATTAAACTATATGATGTCTAAGTTTAATTTCATTTCTTGTTAGTGTTTTCATTTTCTTTATAATCACACAAATTTTGTATACATGTAACATCATCAAAGTGTATTGCAGCAGCAGCAGCTAAAAGAAAATATACTAGATAAACTTATTTGTTTATACTCTTTTTTATATTGAATTCTGCTGCTAGCCTTTTACAACAAACATGTTTCAACATTTATTAACATAGTCGTTCATAATATACATACATACATACATACATACTGACATTAATATGTATGTTAAATTTAGTGTTTTTATGAAACTTTTTTCATTAAAGGATATAACTTCAGCTCAATGTTGAGCTGACTGAACAATAAGTTCAATAGTAATTGTGATGTGTTTCTACTTATTTTGGATTAAAATTACAGTTTGTATATTTATAGGTATATATATTTATAGTATAAAAAACCGCATAACTTCTGTTCTTTTAATAAAAAGTATTAAATCATTAAGGGCCAATCTTTAGGTGAAAGATTAGAGAAAATTAAAATTAATCCTCGAAAGTTGTCTTTGAGTACTCAATTAGTTAATTTTGTTTTCAAGTTTAAGCGCCCAATGGAGGTGGTTTAAGCTTAAGCATGAAATGCAAAAGTGTAAACAGCTGATGCAAAAAAATTAATACAATTTTTATAAATACATATAAACATTAAAATGTTCTATTTATTAATTAGTAAAAATTATGCCCACTCAAAATACATTTTTTTTGTTTTAAATTTAAGTTTTCATTTATTTTCATATTCAATTTACAATTGTCTTCTTCTTTTTTATAAAACATGCATTGTTTTGATAACAATCAGTGACATTTTCTGTTGTTTTGTATGGGAACACTGCGAAGTTTAATTTTGTACACAAAAACATCAAAGGGGATTAACATCAGATTAAATTTATGTTTAGATTAACTAATCTGATTATTAATTGGCATTTGATTGTCGACTCAAAAACCCGCTCTAAAACAGCAATAATTAACTTTACTTAACACCAAAATACTTGGTAAGAGTAGAATTTACAATATAGATGATATATAGATAGATAGATAGATAGATAGATAGATAGATAGATAGATAGATAGATAGATAGATAGATAGATAGATAGATAGACAGATAGATAGATAGATAGATAGATAGATAGATAGATAGATAGATAGATAGATAGATAGATAGATAGATAGATAGATAGATAGATAGATCGAAAATTACAGTTTGTATATTTATAGGTATATATATTTATAGTATAAAAAACCGCATAACTTCTGTTCTTTTAATAAAAAGTATTAAATCATTAAGGGCCAATCTTTAGGTGAAAGATTAGAGAAAATTAAAATTAATCCTCGAAAGTTGTCTTTGAGTACTCAATTAGTTAATTTTGTTTTCAAGTTTAAGCGCCCAATGGAGGTGGTTTAAGCTTAAGCATGAAATGCAAAAGTGTAAACAGCTGATGCAAAAAAATTAATACAATTTTTATAAATACATATAAACATTAAAATGTTCTGTTTATTAATTAGTAAAAATTATGCCCACTCAAAATACATTTTTTTTGTTTTAAATTTAAGTTTTCATTTATTTTCATATTCAATTTACAATTGTCTTCTTCTTTTTTATAAAACATGCATTGTTTTGATAACAATCAGTGACATTTTCTGTTGTTTTGTATGGGAACACTGCGAAGTTTAATTTTGTACACAAAAACATCAAAGGGGATTAACATCAGATTAAATTTATGTTTAGATTAACTAATCTGATTATTAATTGGCATTTGATTGTCGACTCAAAAACCCGCTCTAAAACAGCAATAATTAACTTTACTTAACACCAAAATACTTGGTAAGAGTAGAATTTACAATATAGATGATATATAGATAGATAGATAGATAGATAGATAGATAGATAGATAGATAGATAGACAGATAGATAGATAGATAGATAGATAGATAGATAGATAGATAGATAGATAGATAGATAGATAGATAGATAGATAGATAGATAGATAGATAGATAGATCGATAGATAGATAGATAGATAGATAGATAGATAGATAGATAGATAGATAGATAGATAGATAGAAAGATAGATAGATAGATAGATAGATAGATAGATAGATAGATAGATAGATAGATAGATAGATAGATAGATAGATAGATAGATAGATAGATAGATAGATAGATAGATAGATAGATGGATAGATAGATAGATAGATAGATAGATAGATAGATAGATAGATAGATAGATAGATAGATAATTACGAAAAAATCGCATCCTTAGAACTATTTCCGAGAAATCATTGTATTAAGAACTGGTCCCACAACCGTTTCAAAGAACAAGTGTGTTCTCTATAAAGCTTCACCAGAAGGTCACAATTTCGAACAACTCCAAACTAGAATCAGTACATGCTAAAATAATGAGTTCTACAACTAGTTATAGAACTAATACATTTTCGATAGTTATTAAAAAAATTTCCATACAATATTAAAATTTATTAAATTTATTTTATGTATTTCTCATTTACAGGGAAATGAAACTTCTCTGCCAATGGAGATGTGCTCCAACTGTAAGTATTACTATTATTACTTGTATTTTTAAGCAATTTATAAATGTTAAAGTAATTTTCTGATGGGAAAGGGTCGATTTTGCCCCAATAAATTGCAGCAATAGAGAATGTTAGTGTAAAATTTCAACCCTTTAGCACCTCCCATAGACAAACGAACAGATAGACAAACGCAATTACAAATAGGCCACTATCTTATTTAATAGTATTTTTTATACCCTCCACTTGCTTGGGAACCGTCTTTATAATTTCAGTATTTCCTTTGTAAATGTCACTATTTAATATATTTTACAAAATAAGTATTTATGTTCTGAACCTTATAGATAGCAAAGTCGATTTAGCTGACAATGTTTGTCTAACTATTTGTAGAAAATAAATTTATAAATATCCCAGATTCCTTTAAGATTCAAATTATGGATTACAATATTGAAAAAATTATCTTTCGTACTCATACATATTTCACAATATAACTTGAACTGTAAAAGAAAGACATTTGAGAGAACTTTCATTTGAAATACAGTGGCTAGCAAGATAACTATATGCCCGATATTGCAAAATATCATAAAATTAAGGACCAGAAGCTTGCAAAAACACAATGTCGACTCTTAATGAGTTAATTACCAATGTCATTACGTTGTTTATTGTTTTTTCAGAAATAAAGTCTTGTGACAATTTCGAAATAAATATCTAAATTTGTTAATCAAGAAATAAATACATGTTTTTCGTATTTTTTATTGTTTAGCACAATGTTAAATATATTTAATTTTAATAAACAAATTATATTTTTTTTCTATAGATACATATTTCAAAGAGACATAAAAGTGGCGCTATAAAAATTAAACGTTTGTAAATTATTTCAAATGTTAGTTTCATTTATATTTTAAGTTTTTGACATTTGTGCATTTATTTGTAAATAGCAAATTATTGAAATATTTAAAATATTTACAAAGATAAATATGCAAATGAAATGATATGTTTGTAAATTTTACAGTATTTAGTAAAAGGTTCTTTTAAGTGTATAAACAAATATATTTTTATATTAGGGGTATAACTAAATATTGGTACTAACTGCACGTGATAATGAATTGTTTAAAAATTAGACTAGAGTATAGACTAGACTATATACCAGAAGAGACTAGACTATAGACTAGACTATAGACTAGACTATAGACTAGGCTATAGACTAGACTATACTATAGACTAGACTATAGACTAGACTATAGACTAGACTATAGACTAGACTATAGACTAGACTATAGACTAGACTATACTATAGACTAGACTATAGACTAGACTATAGACTAGACTATAGACTAGACTATAGACTAGACTATAGACTAGACTATAGACTAGACTATAGACTAGACTATAGACTAGACTATAGACTAGACTATAGACTAGACTATCGACTAGACTATCGACTAGACTATTGACTAGACTATAGACTAGACTATCGACTAGACTATTGACTAGACTATAGACTAGACTATAGACTAGACTTTAGACTAGACTATAGACTAGACTATAGACTAAACTATAGACTAGACTATAGACTAGACTATAGACTAGACTATAGACTAGACTATAGACTAGACTATAGACTAGACTATAGACTAGACTATAGACTAGACTATAGACTAGACTATAGACTAGACTATAGACTAGACTATAGACTAGACTATAGACTAGACTATAGACTAGACTATTGACTAGACTATAGACTAGACTATAGACTAGACTATAGACTAGACTATAGACTAGACTAAGACTAGACTATAGACTAGACTATAGACTAGACTATAGACTAGACTATAGACTAGACTATAGACTAGACTATAGACTAGACTATAGACTAGACTATAGACTAGACTATAGACTAGACTATAGACTAGACTATAGACTAGACTATAGACTAGACTATAGACTAGACTATAGACTAGACTATAGACTAGACTATAGACTAGACTATAGACTAGACTATAGACTAGACTATAGACTAGACTATAGACTAGACTATAGACTAGACTATAGACTAGACTATAGACTAGACTATAGACTAGACTATAGACTAGACTATAGACTAGACTATAGACTAGACTATAGACTAGATAGACTAGACTATAGACTAGACTATAGACTATACTATAGACTATACTATAGACTAGACTATAGACTAGACTATAGACTAGACTATAGACTAGACTATAGACTAGACTATAGACTAGACTATAGACTAGACTATAGACTAGACTATAGACTAGACTATAGACTAGACTATAGACTAGACTATAGACTAGACTATAGACTAGACTATAGACTAGACTATAGACTAGACTATAGACTAGACTATAGACTAGACTATAGACTAGACTATAGACTAGACTATAGACTAGACTATAGACTAGACTATAGACTAGACTATAGACTAGACTATAGACTAGACTATAGACTAGACTAGTCTATAGACTAGACTATAGACTAGACTATAGACTAGACTATAGACTAGACTATAGACAAGACTATAGACAAGACTATAGACTAGACTATAGACTAGACTATAGACTAGACTATAGACTAGACTATAGACTAGAGTATAGACTAGACTATAGACTAGACTATAGACTAGGCTATAGACTAGACTATAGACTAGGCTATAGACTAGACTATAGACTAGGCTATAGACTAGACTATAGACTAGGCTATAGACTAGACTATAGACTAGGCTATAGACTAGACTATAGACTAGACTATAGACTAGACTATAGACTAGACTATAGACTAGACTATAGACTAGACTATAGACTAGACTATAGACTAGACTATAGACTAGACTATAGACTAGACTATAGACTAGACTATAGACTAGACTATAGACTAGACTATAGACTAGACTATAGACTAGACTATAGACTAGACTATAGACTAGACTATAGACTAGACTATAGACTAGACTATAGACTAGACTAGACTAGACTATAGACTAGACTATAGACTAGACTATAGACTAGACTATAGACTAGACTATAGACTAGACTATAGACTAGACTATAGACTAGACTATAGACTAGACTATAGACTAGACTATAGACTAGACTATAGACTAGACTATAGACTAGACTATAGACTAGACTATAGACTAGACTATAGACTAGACTATAGACTAGACTAGACTATAGACTAGACTATAGACTAGACTATAGACTAGACTATAGACTAGACTATAGACTAGACTATAGACTAGACTATAGACTAGACTATAGACTAGACTATAGACTAGATATAGACTAGACTATAGACTAGACTATAGACTAGACTATAGACTAGACTATAGACTAGGGACTATAGACTAGACTATAGACTAGACTATAGACTAGACTATAGACTAGACTATAGACTAGACTATAGACTAGACTAGACTAGACTAGACTAATAGACTAGACTATGACTAGCTAGACTAGACTATAGACTAGACTATAGACTAGACTATAGACTAGACTATAGACTAGACTATAGACTAGACTATAGACTAGACTATAGACTAGATAGACTATAGACTAGGACTAGACTAGACTAGACTAGACTAGACTATAGATAACTATAGGACTAGACTATAGACTAGACTATAGACTAGACTATAGACTAGACATTAGACTAGACTATAGACTAGACTAAGACTAGACTATAGACTAGACTATAGACTAGACTATAGACTAGACTATAGACTAGACTATAGACTAGACTATAGACTAGACTATAGACTAGACTATAGACTAGACTATAGACTAGACTATAGACTAGACTATAGACTAGACTATAGACTAGACTATAGACTAGACTATAGACTAGACTATAGACTAGACTATAGACTAGACTATAGACTAGACTATAGACTAGACTATAGACTAGACTATAGACTAGACTATAGACTAGACTATAGACTAGACTATAGACTAGACTATAGACTAGACTATAGACTAGACTATAGACTAGACATAGACTAGACTATAGACTAGACTATAGACTAGACTATAGACTAGACTATAGACTAGACTATAGACTAGACTATAGACTAGACTAGACTATAGACTAGACTTAGACTAGACTATAGACTAGACTATAGACTAGACTATAGACTAGACTAGACTAGACTATAGACTAGACTAGACTAGACTATAGACTAGACTATAGACTAGACTATAGACTAGACTATAGACTAGACTATAGACTAGACTATAGACTAGACTATAGACTAGACTATAGACTAGACTATAGACTAGACTATAGACTAGACTATAGACTAGACTATAGACTAGACTATAGACTAGACTATAGACTAGACTATAGACTAGACTATAGACTAGACTATAGACTAGACTATAGACTAGACTATAGACTAGACTATAGACTAGACTATAGACTAGACTATAGACTAGACTATAGACTAGACTATAGACTAGACTATAGACTAGACTATAGACTAGACTATAGACTAGACTATAGACTAGACTATAGACTAGACTATAGACTAGACTAGACTATAGACTAGACTAGACTATAGACTAGACTATAGACTAGACTATAGACTAGACTATAGACTAGACTATAGACTAGACTATAGACTAGACTATAGACTAGACTATAGACTAGACTATAGACTAGACTATAGACTAGACTATAGACTAGACTATAGACTAGACTATAGACTAGACTATAGACTAGACTATAGACTAGACTATAGACTAGACTATAGACTAGACTATAGACTAGACTATAGACTAGACTATAGACTAGACTATAGACTAGACTATAGACTAGACTATAGACTAGACTATAGACTAGACTATAGACTAGACTATAGACTAGACTATAGACTAGACTATAGACTAGACTATAGACTAGACTATAGACTAGACTAGACTAGACTATAGACTAGACTATAGACTAGACTATAGACTAGACCAGGGGTTCGGCAAACTACGGCTCGCGAGCCAAATGCGGCTCTTTGGATGTGGAGCTGTGGCTCTTTAGTTTCATAAACATTTTCTTATTTTATAAACAAATATTTATATATTTTAAAATCTTTCTGAATCGATTAACGAGCAGTGTTTGTTAAAACTAACAAAACAATTCGCAAACGTTTCTACAATATACACAACTTTTCATCTTTGTTTAATCCTTTTGTACGTAAGCAAAATCAAGCAAATTCTTTTTGGGCGAGAAAGAACGAAAACAAAACAATTAGTTTTCAGTAATTTTCTTGCTTTTATTTACCATTGTGCCATTTGGAATTGGTACTGGATCTCTAGAAATGCAGTTGATCAATTTAAAAAGTAAAGCTTTGGTTATGGAAAATAGTCAAAGTTTAAAAGCCAGTTGATAGAGTTAGGTAAAAAGCCAACTAACAAATGAATGTTTAGAGTCGTTTGTGAAACTTTCTAAAGCCATACAAACCTATCTCTCCCACTGAATTTGTTCCATGTATAAGTAAGAAAATGTTTAATTCTTTAAATTTTTAATTGAAAAGTTCACTATAAACGAATGGGGCATCATGAGCGCTCCTACGAAGTGCCATTAGATAAGATGTAAATCATAATCGTACATTTCGAAATTTTCATGTTTTTCGAATTAAAACATATTTTTTTGGAAATTGAAAGTATCGTAATTAATTAATTAATTAATAATGTGGAGAGTTTGGATACAGTTAAATACTAAAAACTTGGTCTATTTGAAAACTTCAATATTGGGTGTTGGTTGGTAGTATCAATTCGGAACCCATCTTATTAAATTTGGTACAGATATTTTTGTTTCTATAAATTTGTTTATGACGAATTTCACAACTATGCTGGTATTATTAAGCCTGTTATGAGCGTTAAAGTCAACAATGAATTGATCATTAAAAAATTTTGGAGAGAGATTTTTCTTCCTATAATACTTGTTTGTGTCGAATTGCGTCGCTATACTAAGATGTATTATTAAATCAGTTATGAGCGTTAGAGTCATTTTCCGAAGTAGACCTTATAAAAGGGGATTGGTCAATTATGTTCGGATCCTCTTAAAATTTGGTCGAGAAATTTTGTTTTTATAAAACTTGTTTGTGTAAAATTTCGTCGCTTACTGCTATTATTAAGTCACTTAAGAGCGATAGGGTAATTTTCTAGTGCTGATCATATATGGTGGTAGGATCAATTATGAGTCGATAGTCACCAAATTTGGTAAAGATATTTTTGTTCTTGTTTGTGTTGAATGTCGTCATAATACATCTATTATTAAGACAGTTATGAGCGTTAAAATCAAATTTGGAAGATAGATATTGGTCCTTATAAAAGTTGTTTATTTTTTGTTTATTGCTACTGTTAAGTCAATTATGATCGTTAGTCATTTTCTGAAAAGGACCTTATATTGGGTTTGGTAAAATATGGTTCGATGTCCGCAATACATCACAATATAATTTCTGTATGCATAAAAAAACTTTATCTTGATTGCCGCCAAATTAATATATTACTTTATGCTGTATTAGCTGCATCATCAATTTTCGTTATTTTTACATTTCCTGATATACTTCGAAAAGCCTTTTAAATTATAACACTGTCACCCTACTCTAATAAACTTCTATATTTTTAAAAAATGCATTTGAATGACACATAAAAATTCAAAAAGTATTTGTAGTCAAAAATCTATAAGAAAGATTCCTTGCAGAATGTCCTGTAGATAATTAAATCAAAAATTATGTTTTTGAAGTGAATTCATAAAGTATTTCAACTAAATTCAAATCGGGGTTTGTTGGTCAAATAGGCCGAAACATAGAAGTCATAAGGCTTCTTTGTTTTCATAAAGATTTTCGGAAATTGGAATTTTTCTTTGAAAAAATTCTAAAACTGTTAAAATAATCTCTATATTACAAGGATTCGCTAAAAGTGCCATTTTTGTTTTATTTGATGCCAATTTATAACATTTCACAGTTTCGAAGTTAAAAATTTAAAATTTTCATGAATTTTAAGGTAATTTTAGAACATAACCTTTTAGAATTTTTTTGATAGGGACGCTGATTTTAATTGTAGGAGTGTAAAATTTAGCAGGAACATGTATTTTGATAGGGTGTGTCATAACCAATCAAAAAGTTGATTTTGATTTTTTTGTAACTTAGGGCTTTTTGGATTTCATATGAAGATTTTTAAAGTTTTAATAAACAAAAATTTTGTGGCTCTTTTAAAACATATGTTTTGTAAACTGTAAATTTTGGCTCTTCCGACTCAAAAGTTTGCCGACCCCTGGACTAGACTATAGACTAGACTATAGACTAGACTATAGACTAGACTATAGACTAGACTATAGACTATAGACTAGACTATAGACTAGACTATAGACTAGACTATAGACTAGACTATAGACTAGACTATAGACTAGACTATAGACTAGACTATAGACTAGACTATAGACTAGACTATAGACTAGACTATAGACTAGACTATAGACTAGACTATAGACTAGACTATAGACTAGACTATAGACTAGACTATAGACTAGACTATAGACTAGACTATAGACTAGACTATAGACTAGACTATAGACTAGACTATAGACTAGACTATAGAGTAGACTATAGACTAGACTATAGACTAGACTATAGAGTAGACTATAGAGTAGACTATAGACTAGACTATAGACTAGACTATAGACTAGACTATAGACTAGACTATAGAGTAGACTATAGACTAGACTAAACTATAGACTAAACTATAGACTAAACTATTGACTAGACTATAGACTAGACCAGACTATAGATAGACCAGACTATAGACTAGACTATAGACTAGACTATAGACTAGACTTCAAATATTCACTAAAAAATAGTTGTAATTTCTTTAAAGAGTTCCATTTTGATTACATATGAAGAAGAAAAAATTTTCCCCCTAATCTACATGAACAAGATATTTTTAAGTGTATTTTGCCTTGGCATTGGTTTTGATTTTATTTTACTGTAGAAAATATTATTATTTATTGTCTTTTTATAATACATATGAACATTTTGTTTGGTTCTTTTAAATATTTTTCTCTTTTCCCACTTCTTTTCTGTGGTATAAATATTTGTTTTGTTTTTATATGTATTTAGGCAAAAAAAAAAGAAATAAAAACAATGTCAACAAATTAACTATAGTATTTCTATTTTTTCGATTTATATTATAAACTTAAGTTCAGTAACATTTTACTTTTAAGTATAATAAAAAAAGGCATTTTCTTTTAATAACGTGTCTAAAGGAAAATAAACATTTAACATGTCATTATAGTTTTTTTCTTTACCTTAATTTCCTATCAGTGTAATCTTGATATAAAATGTACTTACATATTTCATATCAACATAATGTGATATTATTTAGCACTACATTAAAAAGTTATACATATTAGAAAAAGTTACCACTGCTGACAGTTCAATAACATTTCACATTTGTACCATTACATTTGATGTACACTGACACATATTCTACAATTACTAAGTTAAGGATTTTGTTAGAAATTTTAAAATTTCCATCTTTTTAAACTTATTCAATCCACTTGTAGTGTATAAGTAAAATAAATGTCTAAACCTAAGTAAAAATTGTCTAGTACATAGTATATTTTGTCTAGCATAGAAATCACTGCTGATTACTCAGCCAAACAAATTTAGTTTGTTTTCTAGCTAGATGTCAAAAAGATTTGACAATTGTTTTCATTAATGCGAAATTAATGCTAACAGTAACAAATAGGTATATTTTTTTCGCTGTTATTAACCTAAAGAATTTGTTTTTGTTTAATTTTTAATTAATATTTTAAATGAATTTTCTTTCTAGTCGATGCCGATGAAATACGTCGTTTGGGTAAACGTTTTCGTAAACTAGATTTAGATAATTCTGGTGCCTTGAGTGTTGATGAGTTTATGTCTTTGCCAGAATTACAACAGAATCCCTTAGTACAGCGTGTCATTGATATTTTCGATGCCGATGGTAATGGTGAGGTAGATTTTAAGGAATTCATACAAGGTGTATCACAGTTTAGCGTTAAAGGTGATAAACTATCAAAACTACGTTTTGCATTTCGTATTTATGATATGGATAATGATGGTTACATATCAAATGGTGAACTATTCCAAGTAAGTTTATGGGACATTTAATCTCATTTTAAATAAATTGTAAATATGTTGAGAATGTTCTGTTGTTGTTAATATTTTAGTATATAGTCTGTCTATAGTCTAGTATATAGTCCAGTCTATAATCTAGTCTGTAGTCTAGTCTATAGTCTAGTCTATAGTTTAGTCTATAGTCTAGTCTATACTCTAGTCTATAGTCTAGTCTAGTCTAGTCACTAGACTATAGTCTAGACTATAGTCTATAGTCTAGTCTATAGTCTAGTCTATAGTCTAGTCTAGTCTATAGTCTAGTCTATAATCTAGTCTATAGTCTAGTCTATAGTCTAGTCTATAGTCTAGTCTATAGTCTAGTCTATAGTCTAGTCTATAGTCTAGTCTATAGTCTAGTCTATAGTCTAGTCTATAGTCTAGTCTATAGTATAGTCTATAGTTTAGTCTATAGTCTAGTATATAGTCTAGTCTATAGTCTAGTCTATAGTCTAGTATATAGTCTAGTCTATAGTCTAGTCTATAATCTAGTCTATAGTCTAGTCTATAGTCTAGTCTATAGCCTAGTCTGTAGTCTAGTCTATAGTCTAGTCTATGGTCTAGTCTATGGTCTAGTCTATGGTCTAGTCTATAGTCTAGTCTATAGTCTAGTCTATAGTGTAGTCTATAGTCTAGTCTATAGTCTAGTCTATAGTCTGGTCTATAGTCTAGTCTATAGTCTAGTCAATAGTCTAGTCTATAGTCTAGTCTATCGTCTAGTCTATAGTCTAGTCTATAGTCTAGTATATAATATAGTCTATTGTCTAGTCTTATCTATTCTTTTGTGGATCTGCTATAGAACATGAACAACTATTTGGTAGTAATAATTTCTATTTATTTTTTCTTCTGTGTTCTTTTATCTTTTTGGTATCTTCTTTAGGTGTTAAAAATGATGGTAGGCAATAATCTTAAAGATACACAATTACAACAAATCGTAGATAAAACAATTTGTTTTGCCGACAAAGATGAAGATGGTAAAATTTCATTCGATGAATTTTGTTCGGTAGTCGGTAATACAGATATTCACAAAAAAATGGTTGTTGACGTCTAAAAACGTACATTTGTGTCTCCTCAACATATAAAAGCCACAAACACTTCCTACTCCCTCCTGATACACTTTAAAATAAAGTTACATCCTTTAAACAACTCCAGCTGCTCTGCCTTTCAATAACCCTTCCTCTCATTCTCCTGCAGTCGCTATCCTCCTCTCCTTCCCTTTAATTAATATACTTAACTAATTAATATTTATATATTTTTAATTGTAAATTTTTTTTGCTAAGGGAAAAAACAAAGAAAAAAGAAAATCTTAAAAAAATTTATAATAAAAAAACAAATATTTAAAGTTAAATACAAAACGAAACAAATACAAGAATTTTACAAATCTCCATCCTCGTTAATTAAAGTAAAAAAACCAAAACAACAAGAAACTCGTTAATTTATTTACTAATACTTGCATAATAAACTCGGTTTCTTTTAATTATGCAAATGTTTTAATTTTTATTATGTCTACATACACACATACAACTATTTTTTAACTGGAATTTACTTTTCTTAAATTTATTTGTTTATGTTTTTAAAAAAACCTCTTTATTTATTTTGTTTAAAACCTTATTTTTAATGATTTTTTTTCTCAATTTTTATATATTATTAAGTTTGTTAAAGTCTTTATTATAATTTCCTAAAAAAAATATACAAAACAAATGTTTATTTAAAAAATTAAAAAAAAATTACAAAAATAAAAAAGCTTAAAACAAACAAATAAAAACATTGCAGTAATTTACTTTAATAAAACAAAAAACCCAACAAATATGAAAAAAAAAATTAAATTCTTATACGTTATAAATGAAAACTATCAGCAATAAACGAACTAATGAACATTTTACAGAATTACATATACAGACAAGCAAACATCTTAACATTTAGCAATTGAAATAATGAAAACAAATGATAAATTAATTAAATAAAACTAATTAAAATAACTCCAATATTTGCCTAATAAGAAACAGAATTATAATTATAGTTTATACACAGACAAGAGTAAAAAAGAAAAAGTAATTTAAACAAAAGTGCGATCTTATTTACAAAACTTTTTTCGAAATACGTCAATTTAAATTTTTAGTAAGAAATCGAAATTAAGTATAATTACGAATTTCTAGTAAATACTAGTTCAGTAATATTTCAGTTTTACATCAGTTCTAGTTCAATTCTATTTCAGTTCTAGTTCAGTTCTAGTTCAGTTCTAGTTCAGTTCTAGTTCAGTTCTAGTTCAGTTCTAGTTCAGTTCTACTTCAGTTCTAGTTCAGTTCTAGTTCTGTTCCAGTTCAGTTCTAGTTCAGTTCTAGTTCAGTTCTAGTTCTGTTCTAGTTCTGTTCTAGTTCTGTTCTAGTTCAGTTCTAGTTCAGTTCTAGTTCAGTTCTAGTTCAGTTCTAGTTCTAGTTCAGTTCTAGTTCAGTTCTAGTTCAGTTCTAGTTCAGTTCTAGTTCAGTTCTAGTTCAGTTCTAGTTCAGTTCTAGTTCAGTTCTAGTTCAGTTCTAGTTCAGTTCGAGTTCAGTTCTAGTTCAGTTCTAGTTTAGTTCTAGTTCAATTCTAGTTCAATTCTAGTTCAGTTCTAGCTCAGTTCTAGTTCAGTTCTAGTTCAGTTCTAGTTCAGTTCTAGTTCAGTTCTAGTTCAGTTCTAGTTCAGTTCTAGTTCAGTTCTAGTTCAGTTCTAGTTCAGTTCTAGTTCAGTTCTAGTTCAGTTCTAGTTCAGTTCTAGTTCAGTTCTAGTTCAGTTCTAGTTCAGTTCTAGTTCAGTTCTAGTTCAGTTCTAGTTCAGTTCTAGTTCAGTTCTAGTTCAGTTCTAGTTCAGTTCTAGTTCAGTTCTAGTTCAGTTCTAGTTCAGTTCTAGTTCAGTTCTAGTTCAGTTCTAGTTCAGTTCTAGTTCAGTTCTAGTTCAGTTCTAGTTCAGTTCTAGTTCAGTTCTAGTTTAGTTCAGTTCTAGTTCAGTTCTAGTTCAGTTCTAGTTCAGTTCTAGTTCAGTTCTAGTTTAGTTCAGTTCTAGTTTAGTTCAGTTCTAGTTTAGTTCAGTTCTAGTTCAGTTCTAGTTCAGTTCTAGTTCATTTCTAGTTCAGTTCTAGTTCAGTTCTAGTTCAGTTCTAGTTCAGTTCTAGTTCAGTTCTAGTTCAGTTCTAGTTCAGTTCTAGTTCAGTTCTAGTTCAGTTCTAGTTCAGTTCTAGTTCAGTTCTAGTTCAGTTCTAGTTCAGTTAGTTCTAGTTCAGTTCTAGTTCAGTTCTAGTTCAGTTTTAGTTCAGTTCTAGTTCAGTTCTAGTTCAGTTTTAGTTCAGTTCTAGTTCAGTTCTAGTTCAGTTCTAGTTTAGTTCAGTTCTAGTTCAGTTCTAGTTTAGTTCAGTTCTAGTTCAGTTCTAGTTCAGTTCTAGTTCAGTTCTAGTTCAGTTCTAGTTCAGTTCTAGTTCAGTTCTAGTTCAGTTCTAGTTCTAGTTCAGTTCTAGATCAGTTCTAGTTCAGTTCTAGTTCAGTTCTAGTTCAGTTCTAGTTCAGTTCTAGTTCAGTTCTAGTTCAGTTCTAGTTCAGTTCTAGTTCAGTTCTAGTTCAGTTCTAGTTCAGTTCGAGTTCAGTCCTAGTTCAGTTCTAGTTTAGTTCTAGTTCAATTCTAGTTCAGTTCTAGTTCAATTCTAGTTCAGTTCTAGTTCAGTTCTAGTTCAGTTCAATTCTAGTTCAGTTCTAGCTCAGTTCTAGTTCAGTTCTAGCTCAGTTCTAGTTCAGTTCTAGTTCATTTATGTGCTGGTTCAGTTCTAGTTAAAAGTGCTTTTATGTAAAAAATATAAGCGTTTTTTAAGATCCTATATCTATCGTATAACGAAAAAGTTTTGAAAATAAGATTATGAAGATAAATTTGGTCTAATCGGTTTACCTACTATTTTTGACCACTTTTACTACCCGACATATTTAAAGTAAGAAAAATGGTAAGTAAACGATAAGACGGATATTAGAATTATGATATTTTTACAAAGATTTGAATACAACAACTTTGTTTCAATACCAAACAGTTTTATAAACAAACTCAAAAATACAAAATATTGAAACAAAGCAAATCAACTCTTTAAAACTCGGAAGTAATTCTCTATTATGTGAGGTTATGTTTCATTGTTACGATATATTGATAGTTTCTAAACAATTATTTGAACAGCAGTATATCTTTGCAATGAACAATAATCGAAGGTGGAGATCATATAAATAGAATTTATTTTTAATTTCTCTTAGAAATTTAAATAAGTTTTTAATTTTTACTAACAATTAGTTAACAACAAAATATATTTCTCTTTATAAAAATGTGTTAAAAAGTGACTTCTATATAACTATTTTTAAAATAAAATACTTTTTTTTAAATAAATTTAATAATTAATAATAATAATGCAACTTAATAATAAGTAAATGTATTAAAATTTTCTATTAAATGCAAATTTTTAAGAAAATGTAAGGAAATTCTATAAAAAAAGTTTAATTAATAACATAAACTAACTTTAATATTTATTTATTTTAATAATGTTTATTTATTTTAATGAAGTGATAATTTGACTTCCGTTCTTGTTCAGTTCTAGTTCAGCTCTAGTACAGTTCTAGTTCAGTTCTAGTTCAGCTCTAGTACAGTTCTAGTTCAGTTCTAGTTCTGTTCTAGTTCTGTTCTAGTTCTGTTCTAGTTCTGTTCTAGTTCTGTTCTAGTTCTGTTCTAGTTCTGTTCTAGTTCTGTTCTAGTTCTGTTCTAGTTCTGTTCTAGTTCTGTTCTAGTTCTGTTCTAGTTCTGTTCTAGTTCTGTTCTAGTTCTGTTCTAGTTCTGTTCTAGTTCAGTTCTAGTTCTATTCTAGTTCTGTTCTAGTTCTGTTCTGTTCTAGTTCTGTTCTAGTTCTGTTCTAGTTCTGTTCTAGTTCTGTTCTAGTTCTGTTCTAGTTCTGTTCTAGTTCTGTTCTAGTTCTGTTCTAGTTCTGTTCTAGTTCTGTTCTAGTTCTGTTCTAGTTCTGTTCTAGTTCAGTTCTAGTTCAGACTATTTCAGTTCTATTTCAGTTCTAGTTCAGTTCTTGTTCAGTTATAGTTCAGTTCTAGTCCAGCTCTAGTTCAGTTCTAGTTCAGTTCTAGTTCAGTTCTAGTTCAGTTCTAGTTCAGTTCTAGTTCAGTTCTAGTTCAGTTCTAGTTCAGTTCTAGTTCAGTTCTAGTTCAGTTCTAGTTCAGTTCTAGTTCAGTTCTAGTTCAGTTCTAGTTCAGTTCTAGTTCACTTCTAGTTCAGTTCTAGTTCACTTCTAGTTCACTTCTAGTTCAGTTCTAGTTCATTTCTAGTTCAGTTCTAGTTCAGTTCTAGTTCAGTTCTAGTTCAGTTCTAGTTCAGTTCTAGTTCAGTTTTAGTTCAGTTCTAGTTCAGTTCTAGTTCAGTTCTAGTTCAGTTCTAGTTCAGTTCTAGTTCAGTTCTAGTTTAGTTCAGTTCTAGTTCAGTTCTAGTTCAGTTCTAGTTCAGTTCTAGTTTAGTTCAGTTCTAGTTCAGTTCTAGTTCAGTTCTAGTTCAGTTCTAATTCAGTTCTAGATCAGTTCTAGTTCAGTTCTAGTTCACTTCTAGTTCAGTTTTAGTTCAATCATAGTTCAGTTCTAGTTAAACTTAAAACTATTTTCATCACAAAAAGTTTCCATTACAAATAAAGAACAGAAAAAATTAAACAATTTTAATTTAAGGAGCTGATACCAAAAAAGAATTATATTTTAAATTCTCAAGTTTTATAAATTTACACCATTATGAGTTTTTTTTTCTTAATTTCATTTAATCTAAAAACAAATTCAGATTCTTTTAGAAATCTGAACAAAACCCTGTTAGACGCCTAAGAAAGTAACAATCTAAATAAAGAAAATCATTAATTTTTATTAAAAAAGAAGAAGAAAAAAAACATAATAGATTACAAAAACAATAAATTTCACACCATAAATACATAAATAAATATATTAACAAACAAATAAAGAAAATAAAAAAAAAATGTGCACTTTGTAAAATTTATTAATAATTTAAATTGATAGTATGTAATTCTTACAAATTTTCTAAGCTAAAAAACAAAATAAATAAAAATATAAATTAAGCACTATTTAAAACCATAATTAATGCATAATATTATTAAAATTCAAAAACAAAAATAATTTAAAAACTAATTAACAAAATATATTTTCCAAAATACTCTCACAATTAACACAAATTAAATAAAATATTGAAATTTTATTTAAAATATAATTCTCTAAATAATTTCAAATTTGAATTTAACGTAACTAATGTTTTTACTATAAATGTTAACAACACTTTTAATTTACCATCATCTTCTTTAAATTTTTATTTAAAAACTTTATTTCATTATTAACACTTACAAAATATAAAAAGAAAATAATTTTTTTACTTTCCTAAAAGTTTATAATAAAAAAGTAAATAAAATTAAATTATAATTAAGCATTTTAATATGAATTTCAAATTAACAAATTATTCAAATTACAAAATTCATAAAACATTTGAAATCTATTGAAATGTTAAGAGAAAATAAAGAAAAATCAATAAAAAAAAACAAAAAATTTAAAAACTACTAAAAAGTTTGTATTTTTTTTTAAGGAAGTAAATAAGTTGGTAAGTATATAAAAGTATTAGTGATAGAAGAATTTTCAATTCTAGGTTAGTTCTAGTTTAGTTCTCGTTCAGTACTAATACAGTTCAGTTCTGGTTCAGTTCTAGTTCAGGTCTTGTTCAGTTCCAGTTCAGGTCTAGTTCAGTTCTAGTTTATTCTAGTTCATTTCTAGTTTATTTCTACTTCACCTTAAGTTTCTGTTCTATTTCAGTTCTAGTTCAATTCTAGTTTATTTCTAGTTTGGTTCTAGTTAGTTTTAGTTCAGTTCTAGTTCATCGCCGCTCAGTTCTAGTTCAGTTCTAGTTCACTTCTGGTTTGGATCTAGTTCAATTCTAGTTTGGTTCTAGGTTAGTTTTAGTTCAGTTCTAGTTCAGCTCTAGTTCAGTTCTAGTTTGGTTCTAGTTCAGTTTTAGTTCAGCTCTAGTTCAGTTCTAGTTCGGTTATAGTTCAGTTTTTCTTCAGTGCTAGTTCAGTTCTTGTTCAGTTCTAGTTCAGTTCTAGTTCAGTTCTAGTTCAGTTCTAGTTCTAGTACAGTTCTAGTTCACTTCTAATTCAGTTCTAGTTTATTTCTAGTTCTATTCCTTTCCAGTTCAGTTCTGGTTCAGTTTTAGTTTGAAATTCCTACAACCCTCGTGTATTTAGTAGTTAATAGTTATCGAATATGTATCACCTCTATTGTATTGTTTTGTTTACATCTCACAGCTGTTTAAGTTTTTTTTTATTATTGTTGTGTGGCGCAATTACAACGAAAATTTACTTTCAACTATTTCGCCATAATTGCTTTAATTTTATATTAAAAGTGTGAATTTTCTTTAATACCATGTAATAAAATTCCATAAAATGTCTGGAGCAGAAGGAATATTTTCCTTGCGTTTAGTTATAGCAGATTTTTATATGGAAAAGCCGGTACCAGGATTGGATGCTTGTTATTCGGAATTTCGTGGTAAAGAAATAAAAAGGGTAAGTAGGAGAAGTAAAAAAATAAAGTTTGCGGACCAATAACTACAGTCTTTCTCAATAAAAGGTACCAGTTATACGCATATTTGGTCCAAATGCTCAGGGACAAAAAACCTGCCTGCATGTGCATGGTGTATTTCCTTATTTCTATATACCCTATGATCAAAAGGATTTTGAGTCGCTAAATAAGGCTATCTATCAAATTGCTATCAATTTGGATAAGGCCATAAATATATCGCTCAGCCAAGGTAGTTCCTCTGCTCAGCATGTTTTTAAAATACAACTGGTTAAGGGCATGTAAGTTTTTATCACTTTTTAACTTATATTTTAACTAATAATAATTCTTTATAGACCATTTTATGGTTACCATCGTTCTGATCATCAATTTCTTAAAATTTACATGTTCAATCCTCGCTTTATACGAAGAGCGGCAAATCTTCTACAAAATGGTGCTATTTTAAATAAAAACTTTCATCCTCATGAGTCTCATGTTCCATATATTTTACAATTTATGATTGATTATAATTTATATGGCATGAGTTTTTTACATATTCCTTTGGAAATTGTGAAATTTCGTCGCAGTGATAATGCTGAGTTGATTCCATTTCGGAATCTTCAGGAAACACAAATGCTAGATGTAAATATTGTTAAAAAAATATCCTGCAGTACGTTGGAAATTGATATTGGTTCTAATTTTATTTTGAATCGTTTCCAATTGATTACTAAAACGAATACAACACATACAAATCCGGGTATTGAATCTATCTGGAATGATGAACGTTTAAGAAGACAAAAACTAGCGAAAAGTGTAGAGGATGATGAAGAGAAATTGAATGCGGTAAGATTTGTTCTAGTTCTAGTTCAGTTCAGTTGTGGTTCAGTTCTATTTCAGTTTAGTTATTGTTCAGTTCTAAGTCAGTTCAGTTCTAGTTCAGTTCTTGTTCAGTTCTAGTTCAGTTCTAGTTCAGTTCTAGTTCAGTTCTAGTTCAGTTCTAGTTCAGTTCTAGTTCAGTTCTAGTTCAGTTCTAGTTCAGTTCTAGTTCAGTTCTAGTTCAGTTCTAGTTCAGTTCTAGTTCAGTTCTAGTTCAGTTCTAGTTCAGTTCTAGTTCAGTTCTAGTTCAGTTCTAGTTCAGTTCTAGTTCTAGTTCAGTTCTAGTTCAGTTCTAGTTCTAGTTCAGTTCAGTTCTAGTTCAGTTCTAGTTCAGTTCTAGTTCAGTTCTAGTTCAGTTCTAGTTCAGTTCTAGTTCTAGTTCAGTTCTAGTTCAGTTCTAGTTCAGTTCTAGTTCAGTTCTAGTTCAGTTCTAGTTCAGTTCTAGTTCAGTTATAGATCTAGTTCAGTTCTAGTTCAGTTATAGATCTAGTTCAGTTCTAGTTCAGTTCTAGTTTATTTCTAGTTCAGTTCTAGTTCAGTTCAAGTTCAGTTCTAGTTCAGTTCTAGTTCAGTTCTAGTTCAGTTCTAGTCCAGTTCTAGTTCAGTTCTAGTTGAGTTCTAGTTCAGTTCTAGTTCAGTTCTAGTTCAGTTCTAGTTCAGTTCTAGTTCAGTTCTAGTTCATTTCTAGTTCAGTTCTAGTTCAGTTCTGGTTCAGTTCTAGTTCAGTTCTAGTTCAGTTTAGTTGTTGTTCAGTTCTAAGTCTGTTCTATTTAAGTTCTAGTTCAGATCTAGTATATTTCTAGTTCAGTTATAGTTTATTTTTAGTACAGTTCTAGTTTATTTCTAGTTCAGTTCTAGTTCAGTTCTAGTTCAGTTCTATTTCAGTTCTATTTCAGTTCTAGTTCAGTTCTAGTTCAGTTCTATTTCAGTTCTAGTTCAGTTCTTGTTCAGTTCTAGTTCAGTTCTAGTTCAGTTCTAGTTCAGTTCTATTTCAGTTCTATTTCAGTTCTAGTTCAGTTCTAGTTCAGTTATAGATCTAGTTCAGTTATAGATCTAGTTCAGTTATAGATCTAGTTCAGTTATAGATCTAGTTCAGTTATAGATCTAGTTTAGTTATAGATCTAGTTCAGTTCTGGTTCAGTTCTAGTTCAGTTCTAGTTCAGTTCTAGTTCAGTTCTAGTTCAGTTCTAGTTCAGTTCTAGTTCAGTTCTAGTTCAGTTCTAGTTCAGTTCTAGTTCAGTTCTAGTTCAGTTCTAGTTCAGTTCTAGTTCAGTTCTAGTTCAGTTCTAGTTCAGTTCTAGTTCAGTTCTAGTTCAGTTCTAGTTCAGTTCTAGTTCAGTTCTAGTTCAGTTCTAGTTCAGTTCTAGTTCAGTTCTAGTTTAGTTTTAGTTCAGTTCAGTTCTTGTTAAGTTTAGCTTTAGTTCAGTTCTAGTTAGTTTTAGGCCAGTTCTACTTCAGTTGCTGTTTTGAAATAACATTTTAACCCACCATTACATTGTAGATACCTCGACTTGAAATACCAGCCACACAAGAACGACCCGATGTCCAACCAACCGAAAGTGAAATTTTCTATCGTACAGCATTATTAAGTAAACTATTAGCTATGGAAACCTCCATACTAGAGTCAACGCAAATTTCAAATCAAACTCTTAATTCAAGTCTTATTTCAAATATAACTCTTAATCCCAGCAATACAAGTTTAAATAGCAAACAGCAGAAGAGAACATTTAATTTAACAAGATATTACAAAACTCCGTCTATCCTGAAGAATGTACACAAAATGATAATTTAATTAATGCCTCAGTGATACCAAATCATTTAAGCAATAGCAGTATATTTGAGCAGAGTCTTATGGTAAAATCAAATGAGACAAAAGAGCAGGAAATAATAAAAATACCCGAAGATGAAAGTGTTTTTCTGGAAGATACTATAGTCGATGAAGAATTGGTCTTAAGTTTAACACAACAACAAAATCAAGCAGCTGAGGAGGAGCATGTACCCATGAATGTTACTTGTAAGTAAAAGAAAGCTTTATTAATATCTTCACATGTTTTTAATTGTCTATTTCTGGTATAAAGTACGTGAGGAAGACATGGAATTATTAGATATCTTACAACAATTGGAAGAGAATAATGAAGATAAAATTGATTTAGATAGTAGTTTAGCGCCTATGTCTCAAATGCATAAAAATTGTAAGTTAATACGAGTAAAAACTTAAGTGAATTTAAAATAAATTGTATTTAAATTCCTATTGCTAGTTGCTTTATCACCTCAAGAATTGGATAAAGAAACCACAAATGCTGCTTTGCATAAACCCTCTGCCTACACTGATTCTGAAGATGATCAAGAAAATGATGATAATATACATGATTTTTCTATAGCTTTAGAAAATCTAGATGATTTAATACTAAAACTAACACAATCACAAAAACAACCACATGCGCCTAATGAAAAATCTTCATTGGATGTTCCACAAGTAGATGGAGCTGATGATTTGCTAAGAACTCCTACAAAGGCAGCAAAAACCGTGGCAGCTAACAATAGGGGTACGCCGCCACATACCCCCACTACTCCTAAAAATAGACGTTTAACTATGGGTTCTCCCTGTCGTTCTCCCAGAACACCTAAAACTGGACATAAATATGCTGCTTTACCTTTAGTTTCTATTGATCGTTCTACGGGTAAAAGTATGTTATTAGATATTATTGGCAAATATAAATATTAATCAAATTTTCTTTATTTTAAGCCAAAGCTGTTAATGACACTACACCTTTGAAACAGTCCTCGGGAGAACGAAACAGTTTGTATGCTTTCTAGTATGTATAGAAATGTTAAAATATTAATATTTTGTGTTGTTTTTAGGCCAATGTTATCTTTACGCAAAAAATTAGCTTTGTCTGATATGCGCCGCAAAAGCATATCGGTCGATACAGATGTGGAGGATCAGGTTACTGCTGTAGCCGAAAGTACCAGGTAAGTTTTTTTTCAGTTATTTTATATAATTACAATTGAAAAATTAAAACGAAATAAAAAGAAAAAAATGTTGGAAAAATTAAAATGAAAAGAAAAAATGTTAGAGTAATCTTCTGCTCCACTTGCCAACGAAACCCAGAGACTAAAGTTTCTTCTAAAGGATTGAGCTGTGCTTAATCCAAATATGGAAATGCAGACCAGTCATGTAACATAACAATATGACAATACAACTTTTCCTAGTTGTCTATCCCTAGAGGAAATCATCTTAACTTTATTAGCACACAAGTCGATCTTCCCCCAAAACATGTCTGTCATGATCTTAGTATATAAGTGTGTAACTTATATGATATATTCTTCCTAGTATGTCACCGAAGGAGAAATCCCATCTTCATATCACACAAATTCATCATTTCCCGAAGAATATCAGTAATAACCATTGTATATAAGAGGAGAGCTTACAAGATATATTCCACATGGAAAATCTCCCAAGGAGTCATCCCAACTTTAAAACTCGAATACGACTGCATTTAACGAGAATCGTAGAGACGTCTGTGGATAATCTAACTGATGAAAACTTGTCAGATATTGCACTAGCACTTACATTCATAGTTTTAGTTTAGTATAAGTTAATATTAATTAATTAATAAATTTTGTTAAAAGTAAAATTTATATAAAGTTATAAACTCCCATTTATTAAATCTTGAAATATTATTTCAGTTCCAATCGAAGACGTTCCAAAAGATTAGTTAATTTAGATAAAACTCATGTCACATGTGCCTTAACACCCCGACGAACAAATGCAAAATTACTTAAAGTTTATAGTTTGGATAATAAGGATAATGAAATTGGGGACGACGCACAAGATACCCCCGAGGAAAGTGAAAATATCCAAGATGATATAAAGAAAAAGGAAATTTTAAAAAAGAAGAAAGAATCACATATTCCAGTCGCTGTAATAAGCAATACAAAAGCCAAACAACCAATTAGTTTAGAAGGGGAAAACCCGACAAAAACTGTAAACAAAAGATGTTTGAAAGTAACTAGGAAATTCACCAAAAAGCCGGACTTGGCGGTGGATGTACCAAATAACTTAGAAGATGAATTAAAAGAAACTGTTGCAAATAACTTGGAAATAGTGAAAGAAATTGACTCTAATAAGGAAACAGATGAAGAAATTGTTGACTCTGGTAATGAGGGTGAAGTAGCCATGAAAAATTTACGTAAAACACCAAATTTAAAGAGATTAAGGCGTAGTTTTATAGCAGCCAATTCGGCAAAACGTAGAAAAATAACTAGATCTAGTACTAGCTCATTAGTTAATTCATCAAAATTTGATTGTGCAACAGATGAACGCAAACCTAATGAAATTGAGGAGGAAAATCATTTAAAATTGAAAAAATGTAAAGTGAGACTCAAGAAACTAACAGAATCAGAAGAGCAGGAAAGTAAAAATAGAACAGTTAATACGAAATCCGGAGAAAGCTATGTCGAAACTTTAGGAAATGTAAACGATGGCTTAAAGTGTGATATGGAATTAAAGAAAATTCCAACCAAGTGGTAAAACCTAAAGCTTTAGAAAGTGTAGAATCTAGAGAAGATAATTCAAAAAGTTCTGATCTAACAAATGATCAGCAAATTTCTACTAAATTAGAAGATTTAAGCAGTGCTCTAAAGTTGCATTTCCAATCATCTGCAACTTCAAAAGCTGTACCGGAAACCAACCATCCAAAACCGTCATCAATTGAAATTAAGTATAAATCTCAAAAGGAAGATAAAGATGACACAACCAATCGCAATATAGAAACTCGGAACAGCACGATTTCACAAAATCTAGAAGCCACTACTGAAAATCTTACAAAAACTCCATCGTTAGACATTTTCCCTGAATCCCAAATCAAAGAAAGTTCAGATGAAGAAATCTTCGAAACTCCTTTATTTGATATTCTTTCTAAGTCTCCAAATAAACAATGTTCAGATGAGGAAATCACTGAAACTCCACCACAAGAAACTGATAAGATCCCAAATTTAAAAGGTTGGGTAGTAAATCAATAAGTCTACAAAGTCCAGTAATATTTACCCAGAATTCTAGTCCAGTATTACAAGCCCAATCAAAAACAACCTCTAGATCCAATTCCTTACAATTGGAAAGCTATATAACTATATCGTCTTCTTCGAGTAATCATTCCCTAATAACATCAGAAACGAATATAGTTTTAACTCCCCTAGATTTACCTCCCAGCCGGGAAGAAGTGCTGAAAGGTTGTCGTAAGTTTCAACTACCAGAATATGATTTCCAACAACCGTTCTACAGTAATCCCGATGATATCACCAAGCATAAGGAACTTGGTTTCACCGTACTCCAAATACCGGGTAATAAACTAAATGATGTAGAAGAATTCCAAAGTATATTGGGTACAGACGTCAAAGGTTTAACCTCCTGGAGACGTCAACAACTAATAAAACTAGGGGGAGTAGAAATGTTAAATAAATATCGTAATCCACAACGTATACGTGAATATTTTGCCAATCAAAAATCGGTTATTATAACTCCCCAAATAAATGCTCCCACTAGACAAGAAGTTAAACTATGGCTGAAAGCTAGGGAGTTGTTAAAAACTAAAGGAGAAGAAGTGGAAGACATGAAAGTGAAAAACCTGGAAGAAGACAGTCCAATTAAAGTACGACGACAAAAGTAACTATGATGTTGAATGCTGGCGATGCAGGCGAAGCAGACAGTGATGATGGTGATAATAGTTTGGACTGTTCTTCCAGAAGTCTAACGCTAACGCCTCTAACACCAGGAACACCAACCGGAAATGAACATTACAGCAAAGCAGATGTTAAGAAAAGTTTTACACCTGTTACTAGGAATTTGGAAAAAGTACCCTTAAAACTGGATAGTTCCCTAAGAAAACGTAAAAATTATAGAATTTTTCGGCGTGTTGCTCTAAATAAACAACTTAAGGAGGCTTTCGAAAAGGAAGCATCTAAAGAAAGCTCACAGGAGTTAGAAGCTATAAAGGATAGTCAAGGCAGTGTTATAGCCAATTCTCAAAATAGTGAAACTAGTGTTAGTAGTGAAACTGCTCTGGCGGAATTGGAACGTTCCTCTTTTATGCAGCAGTTAAAGGAAGCCGATGTTACCATTGGTGGCTTTTCAGAGAATTCCACTTTGAATAATACTTTTGGTTTTAAAGTGGCTTTGGAGAACCTGCAACAGGCCAAGGCAGATGTAGAGGTAAATTTTTCAACACTTTGCTTTAGAAATAACCCTTAAGTTCACTCTTTACTCTAGTTCAATTATCTTACCATTGTCACCTTGGAAGTGTTTGTGGCCACACGTGATGATTTATTTCCCAATCCTGAAATGGACGAAATACGTTGCCTATTTTATGCCATAGAAAATAGTATACCCAACGATCATATTGATGTCGATAAAAAATTACCCCGCAAAGCTTGTGGCTATATAATGGTACATGATTCTCGTGATATTGTTGCTAAGGAGGGTCGTATTCATGGCATTGATAATGATATTGAAGTGACCATTGTTCAAACTGAAGTTGAGGCTTTGGAAGCTCTATTGGGTTTATGTTCACGTTGGGATCCTGACATTTATGCTGGCTATGAAATAGAAATGTCTTCTTGGGGTTTTGTTATTGAACGTGCCAAGTATTTGTGTTTGAATATTGCACCTTTATTGTCAAGAGTTCCAACACAGAAAGTTAGAGAATTTGTGGATGAAGATCGAGAGTCGTTTACGGATTTGGATGTAGAGGTAAGTGGAAAACATTTCAATATTTTTTCAAAGCTTTAAAGTACTCTAGTTAAACGCGAAAGTTAAAAATTTATGTGAATTTTATGTGTAACCCCAAGAATCATTATAATAAATATTTAAATCATACACCACTATAGTGAAGTGGGTTTATGCTGATGTATGTATATAAAGCATAGAACTACTAGTCATACGCCCACCTTAAAGAATACCAATCGTTTCAGAATCATTTTCCAATTCGAATTACCTATGTCCGCCCATTCATGCAAACTTTATAATCAAACTGCAGGTCCCAATTATTAAAAAATGTGATTAGACATGACCCATACGTTTCTATTAATCCCAAGACGAAGATCCCATACAACTATACTCTCCACATTACCCTAGCTCCCATATATACTCTCTTTAAGAAAATCAGCTCCTGTAGATGAACCACTGTTAGGTGTCGCATCGATTTGGTTAAGATAAGAGCCACGAGTGTCTTCGTGACTATTGAAAACAGATTGATTTTTCATGTTTAGTCAATCAGAGGAAAGTTTCTGCATCTTTCTCATAAACTCAAATCTCAGCCTATTTTGATGAGCCACTATTAGGTGTTGCGTCATTGTGGTAAGGAGAACAGCCTCGAGCGACTAATAAACAGATTGTTTTCCCATGTTTGATCAATGGGCGGAAAGGTTCTGCATCTTCCTCCTCAAATCCAAACTTTCAAAGTTTCAGCATTAGAATGTCTCCTGTAGATTAGACACTGTTAGGTGTCGCGTCAGTGTGGTAAGAAGAAGAACTTCGAATGACTCCGCAACTGCTGATAACGAAGAGACCTCTCAAATTCAATCAGTTGACGGAAAGATACTGCAACTTTCTCATAAAATTTCAACAATTTCTATCAGTGTAATTTGCAAACAACACTTCATTTTGCTTTATCTCTCTCTCTAGGAGCTCAATAAATAATCATCTAAATATCTACACACAGGTTAGGTTAAAAATAGTGGTATTGGTAAACTGAAACACAATCATTCATCATTCTTTATGAAAGTTTTTAGGTTTATCAAACCACTGTAATACTGTAGATTACAACTTTAATTGGGTTCAGAAGGTCTATTGGTAATGCCTGAAGGAGAATAAGATAATGAAATGAGAAAAAACATAAATGTATATACAGGAGAGTAGAGAGAAAAGTGTAGTGATCACAAAGATTTAGAGAGTGTAGAATATAGATGTAGTGAATAGTACCTAATCCCAACTGGACAGATTTAAAAAAATAATTCCGTTCCATTTGAACGTTTCATTGATCAGATAAATAGAGTTTGATAGCGAATTGGTTCAAATGCCGAGAGACTGGTTTTCCAAATGTTCATGGATTGCTGATGTAATGGCTATTATTCGGTCGCTCTATATATATGGGGTTTCCGGTCATTCTCGTCAGACCAGAGTGCCTTTTCCAATCTGGTGACACGGAAACCAGGTAAATCCTTTCGTTATGTTACCATCTTAACATTGAGTGAAGTGGCTAAACGCTCAAATAATAGGAATTGAATCGGTTAGGGAATATCTCTCTTCCGTTTTCAGTATGTGCTTCTTCATTGGTAGGGAATTTTCTAGTTAACGCTTATTAATTGAATGGGATTCCATGTTCTACTTGATGGTGCCGATTCAATAGAGGGTATAGTAGTATGGTTATCAGTGCAATCATCACAGTATACTTTGACTACAATAGCAGAGATTAGTTATCTTTAGTACTTGAGCAAATTGCTGTGTATAGAGTGTGTTTTTTGCAAGTCTCAAGTTACAGTGGTGAGTCGTCTCGATAATATAAATACTGATGTCCAAGAAGGTTATGAAATACTGCGCCTAACCAAGACCTTGTCTTGTCGGTTAAATGATGAAAATATTTGAGCCAATGAGTCTTTAGAAAAATGTTTTGATTTGGAATTCTTAAAGAAGATCGGCTCATACTGTTTAAAGTACGAAATAATAACACGTTACTAAAATTAGAGAAACCGAAAATGTAGATGTTTTGGATCATCCAAAGATACAGTATTATTGGCTCAATTATATGCTTTATTTTTGAAAATTTCTTCATTAGCTGATTCTTAGTTCCTATTAGGACTCCCTCAAATTTCCAGAGCTATAGTTTTAAACGTATATACGTTAATAATTCTCCCTAACTATTACCTAGATGAAACTTTGTGGTCGCATTTTACTAGATGTCTGGCGTCTGTTACGTTCGGAAATTGCCTTGACCTCCTACACCTTCGAAAATGTTATGTATCATATCATGCACAAACGTTGTCCCTGGCATAGTTATCGCAATTTAACCGAATGGTTTTCTTCACCCTGTTCACGTTGGATTGTCATAGAATATTATTTGGAAAGAGTACGAGGTACATTGGCCCTATTAGATCAGCTTGATTTAATAGGACGTACAAGTGAAATGGCTAAACTGATAGGTATACAATTCTATGAAGTTCTGTCGAGAGGATCACAATTTCGGGTGGAAAGTATGATGTTAAGGTAAAGGGAATTTTAAAGAAAAATAAAAGGGAAGAATATGTGTTATCAAGTTTTTTTATACTTCTAGAATTGCTAAACCTAAAAATTTGGTACCATTATCGCCTAGCGTCCAGCAGCGTGCCCATATGAGAGCTCCCGAATATTTGGCTTTAATTATGGAACCTCAATCTCGCTTTTATGCTGATCCTTTAATAGTTTTAGATTTTCAAAGTTTATATCCTAGCATGATAATAGCCTACAACTATTGTTTCTCCACCTGTCTAGGAAGGGTAGAACATTTGGGACAGTGAGTATTATGCAAGATATTTTGATAAAATTATGACATATCTTAATTACTAGATCGACACCATTTGAGTTTGGTGCCTCACAATTGCGTGTTTCTCCGGCTATGTTGCGTAAATTAGTGGATCGTGATCTCATCACCATTTCACCTTGTGGCGTGGTGTTTGTCAAATCAGCGGTGCGTGAAGGTATATTACCGCGTATGCTAACAGAAATCCTCGATACCCGTCAAATGGTTAAACAATCCATGAAACTACATAAATCTAATTCAGCCTTACAACGTATTTTACACTCACGTCAATTGGGTCTGAAACTAATGGCTAATGTTACTTATGGTTATACAGCTGCCAATTTTAGTGGTCGTATGCCAGCTGTAGAAGTAGGTGATAGTGTAGTTTCGAAGGGCCGTGAAACTCTAGAGCGTGCCATTAAAATGGTGGAAGTCAATGATAAATGGAATGTTAGAGTTTACGGTGACACCGATTCCATGTTTGTTTTAGTGCCGGGACGTAATCGTGATGAAGCATTTCGCATTGGCGAGGAAATTGCTGAGGCTGTAACAAAACAAAATCCTCATCCGGTTAAATTGAAACTGGAAAAAGTCTACCAGCCCTGCATATTACAGGTATGGCTTTAACATTAATCAAAGTTAAAGCTAAAAAACTTTATTTGCAGACCAAAAAACGTTATGTCGGTTATATGTATGAGACCCCCGATCAAAAGGAACCCGTTTATGAAGCTAAAGGTATTGAAACTGTTAGAAGAGATGGCTGTCCAATGGTAGCTAAGGTAAATTATTCTTTAAATGAACTAGAACTGAACTAGAACTGAACTAGAACTGAACTAGAACTGAACTGGAACTAGAACTGAACTTGAACTGAACTTGAACTGAGCTTGAACTGAACTTGAACTGAACTGAACTGAACTTGAACTGAACTTGAACTGAACTTGAACTGAACTTGAACTGAACTTGAACTGAACTTGAACTGAACTTGAACTGAACTTGAACTGAACTTGAACTGAACTTGAACTGAACTTGAACTGAACTTGAACTGAACTTGA